GAACCTAAGCTCCTATAGGGGTTTCAGTGGGGTTTTTTTTTCTTTCTTCTGGGACTATTTCTTGATCTCACGTGCAACTATTGATTTTTTTTCCATCAGGTGGTTCACACTGAGCTGATCTGAGCAGCAGAGAACTAGATGGCCCTGAAAGGCAAGCGTGCCCAATGCACAGAACGGGACGCACCTCACCTCCCCAGGACAATCGTAGTCTCATGGCCCCGTCCCCTAAAATTAATCACTATTTGCTGAACCCTGGAAGAGCCTTTCTAGGTTAATTACACTTTGATGTCTTATGCAGCCAGCCATAAGGAAAGAGGAGAGCAGAGGAGAATCCCGCCATGTGATTATAAGAACACATGCAATAATATTGGAAACCTCTCCTGAGGGAACTCATTGCATCTGACCTCAGCCGCCTGAAAGTCAGATGTCTAAACTCTCCCCTGAGCTCTCCCTAGATTTAAGAGGAAAGTCAGCAGCTCCACATACCTCATCCTGAGACAGCTGGGCATGAGAAGGGGGATTGATTAATTCCTGCAGTTGCTGGGCTCTCCTCCCTTGACCAGCGCAGGAGCTGGGATGACTCCAACAAGATGTTTAACTTCTGGAGGACAGATGCTAGTTAAAATGCATCATACTTACACTGGCCTGTAAATCTCTCTGGACCATACCAGATCACAGAAAATCTGTCCTATTGCATTTCCTCTCTCCTTCACGTTTCAGGGTGAAGGGATGGCAGCAGATTGCACACACTCTTGTCCTTACCCGCCCTTGAACGGAGCAGTTGATGCTCTAGCAATATAGCTACCAGCAGACAGGTCTCCACCTGAACGAACCTTTTGATGATGGAGATCTCCCATATCATTCCCATCTTAATGGGGCACTAACACAACATCGTCGCCTCGCTGCTTCGCTGCCCTGCTGAATCCTTATCCTCTCCCCGCAGACGCGAGGTGACCGGATCCGCATGTCCGATGCTGCCATACTGCCACCTGAATTGTTGTTCTACCTCCTGAAACCGGGGAAAAGCAGTACAAGATGGTCCTTTGCAGGCCAAAGCAGTTTGGCTGTTGCCTGAGAGAAGAAGAGTGTGAAGAGGGCAATGGGAGGTAAAATAGTCCATTATATCTGGAGGTAGGTTTGGAGAGCATCCCTGCCATAACAGGTTTTATACCGCAGGATCAACGGAAGACTGTTTTCTTTATCCCCTCCAGTAATTAATCTATTTTATTGCTAAACAAAACTGCCTCTTTGAAGGGGAAGTGTCCTATTTTAAACCCTGTTTCAGAGCAAAGGGCAGATGATCTTATCCAGACGTGTCTTCTTAAAGGGATGCAGATGCTACTGCTCTGGCTGAAAACTCTGAAAGATGAAAGGGTGCTCTGAGAATTTGCTTCGCTATATCTCGTTCCTCTCAGAAGATGCCATTAGCTGATTTATGCAGTTCGTACATATACCCACCTTTGTGCCCTGATAAAGCTTATACAGAAATATAACGTCCACCTCACCTGTGGGCTAGAAACCTCCAAAGAAGATGCAGACGGTAGCACCTACCAGAAGCTCCATCTTCTCACCGTGAAGGCGGTGACACCCCATCACTTGGTGTCAGTTAAGCACACGCGGGATGAAGGGACGAGGCTTGGCGCGGGCTGCTTCTACCATGCCGAGAGCCTTCAGCTGAGGTGGATATTGGTCCCTTAGCCTATCGGCATGTTATACTCCTCCAAACCATCGGTATAGGTGCTTTGCAGACTCAGGTGGACAAGACCACTTTTGACACCTTCTGTGCTCATGATGTCCAAGACTTTCTTTGCAATTATAAGGGCAAAACTCTGTGCTTTTATCCCACCCGGAAGAGGGTCACTGGATCCATGAGCAGACGGCTCCAGGTCCAAGTTTATAAAGGTTTTCTATTCGACTGTGGCAGATGCGGAGTACCCTGGCTGTACCGAGATGGAAATATGGTGGTAACATGAAATAGTGCTATCCACTGTATCTCTGTGGGTGTTTAATGTGATTTGATTGTAAATAGACATAAACAAGTACTGGCTTTAGGGCAAGAGAATAACTTCAATGGCTCTGTCTTGGAGATAACTCTGTGCAACATCAAAAAATACAGCCTGCTTCCTGCTTCCTGTCCTGGTTACATAATGTCCTCATGCACATTTTATAAGAGTCATCGCCTGGGTATAAAAAAAAATGACTCACTATGAAATTGATAACATTGAACTTTGTTTTGATCCAAAGCCAAAATGCTGTATTTATTTGAAGTGTAAATTGTTCCTTTATTGTTCGGTTCACCAGGAGTTTAGGGCAGTTTGCTTCTAAATGAGTCTAATCCACAGGATTTTACAAAACTCTGCGAAGCTGAGAAAGTGGCTTGGAAGAACTTGAAACCGTCTTGGTCGATTTACAGAGGCGATGTTTCGAAACCAGCTTCCCTGTCCCTCCAGCACTGCCTTCCCTGGAGAGTTATCGCTAAGGCTGCTGCAACTGTTAGAGCCGAGGAATGCAGCCTGCGCCGCAGCTGCCAAGACTTCTCTCCTGCTTGCACCAGCTACGTCTCCAGCAAATATTTCTCCTTCCAGCCTAACCTGCAATCTCTCATTGGGAGTTAGGTGGTCAATATAGGTGCACAAATATCCCAAGCGTAGGGAGATGAGGCCTTTCCTTTGAGTGACAGGGAACCGGCACCCGTTTCGGCAGCCTGCAGCCGCTGCCCTGGCTTGGCACTGCTCCTACCTGCAGCGGTTGGGCACCCAGGCCTTGCTCACTGGTCTCCCTCAGGCTGGACAGACTCGGCGCTGTTTGCTCATATTCATTCTTTGCTTTCTGAGCTGCAGCAGCCTACTGGAGCCTGGGCTGGAAGATGGGCATCTGCTGGTGCTGGAAATGCTGCTGTTTGTTTGAGAGCATCCGCATCCTGCTTTGTAAAGGGATTTGGAAGTGGTGGTGGGGAAGCCACCAGGTGTCAGATGCTCCCTTTCACCGCAGTCCAACTCTGCACAAGGCTTTCTCTTCCTTTTTTTCTTGCAAGTCCAGAGAGGAGCTTTCCTCCAAGGCAGGGAACAGAGGGAGTGTGTTTGACCTCTACCTGCTGCAGCCCTCTCAGCACAGGCCAGCTACTGGTTGGACGGTGGGGAAAGGAGAGATGGAGATGAAGAGAAGGGGAAGCCAATGGGTTTATGCATGTGTACACACCTTTCATAGATGGGGAGGGAAGAGAATTGATTTTTAGAGAGCAGCAGAATTAACTGATCACGTGAAGAACTGATTGCCAGAGGAACGGGTTTCCTAGCAAAGCTGAGCTGAGCTTTGGTGGCAAGAGAAGGGGGAGCAGGCAGGAAAAACCAGAGGAGGAAGGAGACCAAGGGAGAAGAAAAATAACCCAGGCAGAAAGGGGAGAAAAATGGAGAAGGTTCACTCAGGAGAATCCCAGGAGAGGCAGGAAAATAATTCCTAGGTCTCAGAGAATAAAGATGAAAAACAACTGCTGTATAAAGATCACGGAAGAGTTGGTCTAGTCTCAGGGTCATGAAGTTGTTCAAAGGGGTTGAAAAGCACCGGAGAAGATCTGATCATTCAAAGAAACCAGGAGATACTTCAAGTGACTTGGCAGCATCATGGATCCTGCAGGAATGGGAACAAGGAAGCGGCTGCAGTTACGGGACGCAAGCGCCGTGCCAGCTGGGGAAGCGCTAGGCGCCTTTCGCTGCCGGCAGCTGGCTGCTCCCATGCTGGCACTTCCGCCGGCTGCCAGTGCTGCAGCCCTCCCAAGCCCCAAAAAACTGAGCCGGACACCGACCAGCATCCAGCACGTTGGATCTCAGCCAAGCCTGGGTTTAAACCTGGACAGAGATGATGAAAGAGCACCAGGACTGAGTTATATCTTGAAAAACCTGAAGAGCAGGTCTGGTCCAGGGGCCAGTTTTCTGGCCTTTTTCAGTTCCACCCATAACAGAGATGGGTTCAAGACTGTTGCAAAAAATCATCTAGACAGACTCATTGAATAGTTGTGTGGTCCTCATTAACACAGAGACATACTGTGGCTTCCCGGCACTTGCCTTCTGCCAGAGCTAACAAAACCCAGAGCCACATGCCACGAGTACCTGGAGACCAAAGCAGAAAAGCTGTATTTGCGTTTTCGGCTGGTGCCTGAGCCGAGGGCATCTGGCAGCCCCAACCTGTACAGCCGGAGGCTGCCCGCTCATTGCGGTCATGTGCAGGTCATTGCCCACGCGACTGTCACAACACAGCCACAGCTCACACCATGACCTGAGCCACACAAACGATCCAAGTTTAAAACAACCTTTTTTTTTGTTAGTTTGTTTGGAGCAGAACTTTGTATAATTTGGGTAACTTGAGTCAACTCAAACGCTGGCACAACTGAAAAGGAGACCCAACAGAAGTATGCAGCAAATACTTGGGGGAAGTGCTTAAATCAGATTTGCTGAAAAAGCTGCTTTTAGGTCCCAAGAATGCCCACCACGGAGCGTGCATGGGAATACCGCTCACCACTGACCCTAGCGAAACCACCAGGCGGTTCTCGAGAACAAACCGTACTCACAAGTCAACACTTGAGCGACTGAAGACACCAGTGAATCACTCTTAGATAGGAGTTGGTCAGTCTTCACAGAAATAAGTTTGTCGGAGGAATTTCGACGGTCCCCATGCCAGGATCTCTCATGGCTGTGGAATTAATGCACTGTTTGCAGAACTCTTCAATGTGTTTCTCTGAGAGACGGCTGGAAATATTCCAATAGTAAATGTATCCGTCTCCGAAAGGAAAAAAAATATCTTGCTTACATTAACAGTGTCTGCATGGCGAAGAACGCAGAGACGGGAGAGCATCACAGGGCAATTAATAAACCGAGGCTGCACTTGGTGGCAAGGATGTAAGAAAATATTGGGGGATGTGACATGCAAGGCCAGTAAGTAGTGGAGCGAGGGCATCCTTTGGGGAAGGGACGTGCAGTGCTGCTGCTGAGTTGGGGGCAACGAACACAGCTGCAGTCCCCCCGGATGGTGCAGTCAGCCTCCTCCTTGAATCCCTCCAGTTTCAATTTGGCATCACCGTTCTCTTTCTCTCCCTAAGCTGGAATTGGTCTATCAGCTCACACGACGGGCCCGTGGGTTGACGTATGGAGAGGGCATGTTTCCCCCTTCCCTCCCTGCATCCCTTCTCCCAGTTGGCCTTGGACTACGGGGTTATTGCCGTGATGTTCACTTTTACAGTTCCTGCTCCTGGGAAAGCTGCCAGGGTTTGAATGTTTTAAGAGGCCAGATGAGATATGGCCAGATGATGCTGTTGGGGCCACTGGAGTCCCAGGAGGTGTCGAGCCCTGTGCGCGCGCACGTATGAGCAGTTAAGAGCTGGCCCATGCCCTCATGCAGCTCCTTTTATGCCCATTAGTAATAGCGGGTTAACCGGGCGCTGATAAAATGCTAATTAAGAGCTGAACACTGTTGCAAAAACACAAAGAAAATCAGTGTTTTCAAAAGCACGCAGAAGGCGAATGGCATTGACTTTTCATTGAATGAGAGACGCTCAACAACTTTCCTGCATCCAGCCCGTGCTGAAGCTTGCGGACACGAAGACCCTTCCCCGGCCGGCTGGTGGGACCAGCCCCACCGCAGCCACTAAACCTCCCCCGGGCGAGAGCCGGGCATGCTGCCCACGCAGGGAGCGACGGCTACCGTCAGCCTTACAGGGCAACAACGCCGGGCAACTCCAGCACAAGCTTTGCTCTTGCGATTAATGCTATTCCTCTAAGGCATTCCTAAGGATTAAGTGAAAGCAAACACTGTTCTCCGGAAGGCTGCTGCATCCCTGGCTTTAAAGGCATCGTGGATGGACGCCCCGGGCATGCCCGCAGCGGGTGTCTGCTGCGCTGAACTCTCCCAGGGCGAAGAGAAGGAAGAGAGAGCAAGCAGGCATTCGTTTCGAGGAGATGCATCTGCATAGGCTCGAGGTAGACGGTGCATTTGTCTTCCCCATACCAGCCAGCTGCCAGCCTGCAGCTGGAGATTTTCCTGGTGTAATAACTTCCCAGCGGACCCGGCCTGGGCTCGGGCTGCTACACATCGCGTCTCCAAGGGCTTCAGACGACTCGCTCCGAGGAAATTCAAGCTCAGTTCATGTGAAATGCATCGTCTCTCCCAGGATCGGGTTATTTTTTCCGTTGCACTCCCACAAATCGCGAGGCGGTACAGAGCGAGCGCGATCCCTCCCACAGGCTCCCAGGGCCCCGAGCCCCTTCGGCAAGACTTCACGTCGGCGTAACAAGAACGAACGAGCTGCTGTTTGGCTGCTGAGACCCCCCACACCTCTATGCACGGAGAGGCTTCGGAGAGGCGCTGGGGGGGGGTCAGGCAGCCGCGTTTTCCAGGTAGACAGACAAGGGGGAAACAGCCACCAGCTAAGGGCAAGAGAGAAAAGCAGAGCTTTGAAGCCTTCAGGCACCATCGATCAAAACCGGTGCCCGAGAGATTCAGCTTTCGGTCTCGCGGAGGAAATCTGCACAGCCCTTTGGCTCCAGCGGTAGCAGCCGCATCAGGTCCCAGCGACGTAGCGCAGCGGCTGCAGAGCGCGGACCGGCGAGCTCGGAGCTCCGCGCGAGCGGGACAACCGCGCAAGCCCTCCGCGGGCTCGCGAGAAAACGGCACGTTTCCAGCAAAAAAAAAAACGCAGCAAACGGACGTTTCAGCGCATAACTCGCCACGAAGCGCTGCGCCGCTGTCCTCCCGGTAGAGCTGCTGCAACGGAGAGCGATGGCTTGGAGGGACACGGGCTAAGAGGGTTAAGTACCTGCTCAGGCACCTGCTAAGTGGAGGGTGTGAAAATGCAAGGTGATAACTCACAGCAGACAAAGCTCAGCGCGACTGCAGCGCTTTGACGAGCACTTGGGACAGAGTTCAGCATTTTTGTCCAGCTGGGCTTAACTGATGAACAATGGTAAAACAGGGACTAGCGGTTTGCATCACAGCAGCAACCGGCAGCAACGTCAGACAAGAGGACGGTGAAAAACGATGCGACGCGTCCCTTACGCCGCTGCTTCGTGCGCACCTTAAAACCGGCAGAGCCCTCAAAACCTGGAGCTCAAACTCTGCCAGAACAGCGCTGCAAAGGCCTCAGCAAAAATGGAAAAATAAAAATAATCGGTCGCCAGTGGCTGGGCAGGAGGTAACTCGACCTTTTTGCAGGCAAAAAATTAAACTACAGGTCTGGCCTGCCTAAGGAGCGATACGGAACAAAAAGTCCCGTGTCTGCTTAAATAAAATAATCTGCAAATATAAGCAGCCAACTGGGTGTTTAACGTACCCCACGGCGTTAAAACCTCGCTGTCAATATCTTGTTTTTTTTTTTTTTTTAAAAAGGCCTTCAGCATCTGTAGAGAAATTTAGGTATTAGAAGAGTGACGATGCGCACATCCCAGGGCACATCCCAAGGGAACCGACAGAGAAAGGAGAAGCAAAACTTGACGTTACTAAGCAGGCAACAAGCATCCAAGCTCACCAGACTGGGAACCGGATCACTGTAACGAAAGCAAACAAGCCGGGGTTTAAATAGAAGCAAAAGCCTTGGGAGGGAAAAACCAATGCAAGCAAATGTTTACCCTGATGATGGGATAGTTTAGAAATTATGGCTGGACGCCAACTCTCCAATATTTTTAGTTTCGGAAGGTCTAATCTCAATTTTGAAAAATGCATATGTATCTTCAGCCCCTTTTTGCTTTAGGTACAGCGACGCGTTACTGTTCAGCATTTCAGCCATATCAGAACCACCCGTTTTAAGAAAAGGCTGAAAGCTTCAGCCACCTGATTTCAGGGGAAACCAACTGGCAGCATGTTGCAGTGTTTCACAATTTATCCAATAACTGCCATGTGAACAGAAACAAATGCCCAGGTTGTTTAATTATAATAATTATGAGAGAGACAGTTCAGCAGCGAGCAAGCCCAAAAGGAGGGCACAAACACGTAGCTTTGCTCTGCCTGCTAAAGAGCTAAAAGATAAAAATGCTCCCTGCATTTTGCTAATCAGGTTTATGGGGAGGAAAATGAGAGGAAAAAACCCAGGGACTTCTGCAGTGACCGACTCACCCTGGTGCCGGTCCCGTCGGGGCAGCGAGCCAGCACAGCTTCCTCACAAACACGTGCCGGAGTCAGACCAAAACTCGGAAAGAACGAGTCAGATTCAAACTTATATTAATTTTATTCACATTTCCAGAAGAAAGCATTGGTGGAGCGCAACATTGCAGCTAGCATCAAAAAGCTCAAGTCTTTGTTTGGTTTAAACCAGGCAAACATTTCAAACAGTGAAACGAGACGGCGGACGCACGCTCCCTTCCCCTGCACATGTTTCCAGTTCAAGTAATAGGAATTTCAAAAATAAGCTAGCTCATCACATGATGGAGGGAACGTCAAAACCTTTAAAGCTTTCCGTGGTCTAAGTCCCTAAGCAGGGCATGAAAGTAGCAGGCAGGAAATCTTCTACAGCTGAACTAGCTTATCCCCTGGCTGATTTTTTTTTTTCTTCCCCTCCTTTGGTTGTAAAACCTTTGCTATCAGCGCTGCCGAATGCTTCTGCCCCAACTTTAATGCGATTCGTTACCCCGAGCAGAAATTCACTACTTGCAGGATTACAAGGCTGATCATTTGTGATGGCACAGAAACATTTTAGCAGGACTGTCTACAAAGGAGGAAAAAGAGAAAAAAAAAAAAAAAAAAAAAAAAAAAAAAAAAAAAAATCGACCACTTTGGATTTCAAGAAGGCATACAGGAAAAAGACACATTTTCATTTGGAACTGAGACTTTCCAATTGCACTGCTTGGCCATGGGAAGTTTTCATAACTCTGCCTTGCTTTTAAGTAATATATTTATTTTCTAAGCCACTGTTGGGTTCAGCTGGGCCCACAGCTGGTGTATACCGATATTCAGTCCATTATGAAAACCTCCTAAACCAAGGGGCATTACCCAGTTTCAGCTCTGTACAACACACAGCTACAACTTCTGGCTTTCCGCTTCCAAGTGTGTGTTTCCAATCGGACAACAAGGCATTAAACACACAAAGGCATCTGCAGACGCCTTGCTTAGATATAGTCCTCGATCAGGACTGGAACAAAAGGCAAATTTTTGTAGTCCAGAGAGAAACAAGTCACCGAGCTGCATGTGAAAGTGCGGCTCACTGGTGCAAGCAAAATGGCACCAGCAACCTGGGAATTCTCAAGTCATGGGGCAAAGTCGGGGCTAAAACATGAGGCTTTTTTTCTTCTTGTAAATATGAGGAAATTTTAAACCTGTCCAGTGAAGACACTGGAAATCTTTTGGCCCTTGCATTACTGTGAAGTTGTTTGATTTTATTAACATATAGCTACATTTGGAAGAAGAGCTACTGACAGATCTGTGCACATTCTTCCTTGCTCTGTGAAGACAATTATCGGATTACCAAAAAGGCACAAGAAGCAGATTCTTGCTTTCTCTATCCCTAAAAGGTTTCCTCCCTTCCTCCTTGCTGAAAACACTGCCACTGCTGTAACTGAATAAACTCCAAGTACACATTTTCTTCTTTGATCCAGCTGGCTTGGAAGCCCCTAGGATTAAGGAACTCTCTGCTGTTTGAATAATTTCAGTAACTAGTATCTCATTGCTTGTTTCACCAATTCTCTTCATCCTCTATCTATATATAGTAAAAAAGATGAAATAATATTACAATTTGGTTTTTTCGCCAGAGGCAACCTGCTATCGCCAACTCACTCTCCCAAAGGAAGGAGGTAAAATAGAAAATTCTGCAGGACCTGCTTACTGGAAACAAGAACAAAGTGAAATTGCACTCAAACATCAGCCGCCAGCTGCTGAAGATCGCAAAGCCCTCCGCCTGGCAGGGTGTCACAGATGGGGAAACTGGAGCAAAGAAGGGCTCAGGGTTATTTAGCAAGTCAGCGGAGAGCCAGCAACAGAGCAGTCCAGCTACCGATGCTCTGCTCCAGTTGTCAAGAAACAATCCTGCTTTGCCTAGAAGGTGAATGGTGTCAGAGTCCAGGTCGTGCCACTTGCAATGCCAGTCCTTGCACAGACTCAGGATGCTCTGAGTGGGATAAAGGAATGTGATTCTTTGGCAAATATCCTTGTTATCATATTAGAAATATATTTTAATAAATTAAATTAATTTCTTGTCTAGCCTGCATTAAATTACTAAACTCTCCCGCAGCTGCCTAGGCAGTGAACTGTCTGTTATTTAATATTTCAGATATTAAATATCCCACCACCCCTACGTCTTCTCCGTGGAAGGCTTAAACTCCTTAACTTCTTATACAAAAATAGAAAGTATGGAAACAAATTGCTCCATACCTTAATCCAGGACTGAATGCATTCAGTAGCTTGGATTCTGCTCTATTGGCAATTTTAAGGAACTCATTACTTTAGGAAGATCATAAGGACCTTCTCAGAAGCTGAAAGGTTGGACAAAGGACGTGGAGCAATGAGGGAAGGAAGACAAAGCACGTTCCTTGTGCCATCCCACAGTCGCGCAGAGCGTGTTCCTTCTCAGTTCATAACAGCTGCTGGAGTAGCTGCAGGACTGCGTCGAAGGCAACAACGTTAGGGATGAAGATGCTGAGAACAGGAGGGAGTTTGAGGCATCTGTGGATGGATGGATGACATCTGCATCATGAAACGCCCTGAGAAATTCATGCAACCTGGGCTGGATTCGGACAGTACACCCATCTTCAGCTTCTGCTTCAGCAGAAGCATGCTCACAGCGTGCAGAAGGGTTCGCTCATTCACGCACGGCGGTTTCACCTCGGCAGCTTCGGACGAAGCAGTGGAAAGGTGTACCTAGCTAAGACGACTCCAGCTAAACCCCAGAACAGCCAAATATCTTCCAAGGAGAACAGCCAGAGACGGAGTTGCAGCCTCGCATGCTGCCAGGCACAAAAGGAAACATTAAACAGAGTCCCCAAAGTGCTAACCCCTTCCCCCTGTGCTTCCAGGGTAGCAGGAGGAGTCAGGGAGCAGCGAGGCAGAAGCCCTTCACCCGGGACAGCCCAGTCCTAGAAGCATGCTCATAAAACCATGCTCTGACCTCCAGAGGAGCAGGAAATACTAGCACTCTCCTACTGCCAGCAAAGCGCACAGATTGCTACCTACCTGCAGGGGAACAGCGCTACAAGCTTCCCTTCTTCCCGGATACAGACAGATCAGCTCTCTCTTTTGACAATCATTCGTACCCTGTTTTGCTGCCTGTTCAAACCCTGATCGCCCTCTGGTCAGCCTTCCCTTCATGTTCTGCCTGACTCGCCACTAGAGACGCAGAGGACTGGGCTGTCCTGCTGCTGAAGCACACCATCTCATGGGCAGAACAGGCCAAAGTCCACCTGGAGGCCGTAAGGGCCAAAGCGCTTGCTGTTCATTAAGGTTTAAATTGTTGGAAATAAAAAGAAAAATTGTTTCTAGGACATCTGTTTGCATCTGTACGCATATGCTGGCCACGGCTAGGTTTTCAGCTCGGACTGTTCCTAGCAACCGGCTGATGGCGAAGAGAGTCTGGATGAACGCAGCAAATTCTCAAGCGCTCCTGATTGTCTCATTTTGCCATAAGGTGTTCATGGTCTAGACAGCAATGGCCCAAAAGCACTGAAGGGAGAGCTAGAAATATTTTTCTTTGCCTTTTGTGGGAGATATGCTTATGAGAGATCTCTGCCTACCCCAAGCCTAACCAAGGACGGGGCGCTCGTCCTCCAACTGTGTGGTGGCATGAATGAGAAAGTCTTGTTACCAGAAATAATGTAGGCCATCACTGATGAAACCCCGTGGTACCCTTCTGTTGTGGTGCAAGCAGTCCATTAGCCGAGCGTATTTGAACTAGTAAGATCAGCAGGAGAAACTGGAATTTAAAAATTAGTCTTGAAAAGGTCAGCTCTTGAGTCACAGCTCTGAAGGATACAGGTGAGTTGCTCTGAAGTGCATATTCTTCCTATTTTCTCACTCCTCCTTTGTCAGAGTTTTTATACATATATATGTATATGTACATACATTAAACATGCTGGTGATAATTCAGTCTCTTTCAGGCACTATCGCTGGACACAGCGGTCATTTCACTCATAGCTTTTTCTCGCTATTGCAGCTCCACCAATGTTACCCTGGATTCCCCTTATAACTGGAGGTTTCTTCTAGATCTCAAAAAGAGATTGATATATCAAAACCAAATTCAATTACAAAATATAATAATCTCCTCTTCTTGGAAGTGAAGCTGCCCCATATTCCAGATTGCGGCAGGATTTGTAAGTCCTCAAAATAGTTTTAACAAGTTCTACTTAAAACATGTCCGAGTCTCAGTCTGCCTGTTCGGCACTTTGTAACGCTCTCAGCTGAAGATCTGTTCCCTGTAAAATCTTCTTGGGCTCTGGCAAAAGGGCTCTTCTCAGTGTTCTTCTGCAGACTTCAGCATGAGGATGGCATTGTAGATTTTCAGGGCAGGACCCAGCTTGATACCGAGTATTTTAACTATGTCGGTCTGGTTCAGGAGTAGGAAGGCCTCTCCATCTATCTGCTAGAGGTTGGAAACACAACATAAGATAAAGATTATTATTCAAGAAATAAGACAGGTGTCTTCGCATTTCCAGTCTTTCCCATTAAACAATATATTTGGAACGGCGGAACGAAAGCATAAACACAGCCCTGAAGACTGCAACCTTGGATTTTTCCCTACTTGTCACACTGGTATCAGCATGAGCTCCCAGGCACGCTGCCCCTTTCTGAGGTCTCGGGCCTCATCTAGAAGTCAGCTTTCTCCAAACAGAGAAGCCAGAGCATAGTCAAGGCTTTAGAGAAATCACAAGGAGGACGCTTGATCATTAAACTTTATGTTTGGTATAGGGATAACTACTCTAAAATCCAACATTTGTCAAAAATCCTAGAGCTTATTCACAATCTGCGGCCAGAAATTAGATCAGGAAATATGGAATGCAAGTTTTCAGCAGGCAGCTATCCAAGAAGTAATATATTACACTGATCTACAGTGATTAGAAATATAAAATCACCATTTCCTACTGCATTCATTACATACTGTCCTTGGAGATGTTTGGACTCCCGTTAAGCTGTTCAGGGTAAAATTCAAAGCCGAATGCCCTCTGTGTTGATGTTTTGGTCGGCTTTGCTAAAAACCTTACAGATGAGAAAAATTCCTGAGATGTGAACATCTGGCTGTTCTCAAAACTAATATGCTCATAACTAATATGCTCATAAACAACAAGTTTCCATTTAAAGGAGAAACAGAAGGCTATTGCAAAACCATTTTCAATGGCACTAAATGGGTTTGTTTAGCACAAGGTAAAAGAGGTGATGCCCTGTATAAAACGAAGCCTGGAAAAAAGAGACATAAGCTGTCTGGACTTGCACATACACTCTCACAATACATCAGCAAGGAGACATCCTTTGAAATTCAAAGTATGCAAATTAAAAACTATACTTCCTTGTGAAAAGGTAGGATGTTCTAAGTACCAGTGAGCAAAATCTTAACGTATTATTTAAAAATAAATAAATAAAAATAACTTGGATTCACAAGAACATCCGCAGTTATCCAGAGACGACAAAGATATAATTAATATAAATACCAAATGCTTCAGGGAAGAAGCCAAGGATTAATGGACAGAGACAAGGAATACACATCTCCCCGAGATACATTACTCCATTAACATCCATTTACAGAGACCAACAGCATCTCAACCTCTTCTTTGATGTTCACCAGTTACAGTGGACGACACGGGACTTTCATCGGATCCAGAAAAACAATTCTTCTACCCTTGTTGTTTTCCCAACTAGAACTTCCTTGCATTTCAACAACTGGCAGAAGCTATGCTTAATTAACTTGGACAAACATATCATTAAAGCGAGAAATGCTGGGAGCCAGGAGGTTTGATTTCCTCTCCTCTGCTCTGACCACACGAGAGACCGTTTGCAAGCTACTTAGCCTGCCAGTACCTGCACTGGAAACGACAACAGAGCTCCCAGGCCACAGATCGCTTCACCGACTCGTGTTTGCCAGCTGTCTAGAGTCTGCGTTGCTGCAACGAGCACGCTAAAAATACCTTGAAATTAATGGATCGCTGCTTAAATTAAATGGAGTCAGGGGTAGAAGAAAACTGCTGGAAAACAGTCCGAGGTTTCAAAATGCTTTCGAGTCTAATATTACTATGCTTGACTTTCGCTGCGTTGTCTCTTAAGATGCCTTATTTTAAACAGACCTTCCCTGGACACAAACGCAATACGCTGCCTGAGCTTTATTATGCAGTTCTTTGTTCCATCTTATTTGAGTGGTTTTTAAAATTCTGCGCACAATTTGTTCTCTCCGCTCCTAATGTAAGCAGGAACTTATCCCTCTCCCCTCCCCGCCAAGAGAAGCCTGCAAGGGATTTATTTATCCTAAACAGAGAGCACTCAGAGGCCTGATTACCACTAATGGACAATTCTGGTGGCGTTCAGCAGTAGTGCCGCTCACACCTGAATTCTGGCCAAAGCCAAACTGCTAAAAGGGTTTTAATTTCAAACTGGCAATTTAGTTCGAGCATAAATCTGAAAAAAATCCAAGCCCCTCTCACTTGGCAAAGAGAGCGACACTTTGAGGCTGCAGAAAGTAAGGTACTAAAATAGAGCGCGGCTACACCTCTCTCTAAACTAGAAAACAGCCACTGGAACTGTGGGTAGGACCACTGAAATTATGACTGCAAGAAAAAATAAATTGTGAACGGTCAGATTAGAAGACTTGCTAGCTACATCTCAATTCCCAAGCCCTAATCTCTGAACACATCTCCACTAGAAATTAGGATGCATCTTCTACACTCAACTAAACTGACAGCCTGGTTCATTTGGATAAATTCCGTTATTCCCACTATGTTCCAATAAACAGTATCCTACTGTACTGTTACTTTGCAAATAGTGATTTTTGCAAGCCTCAATTTCTTTTGCCTTTTTTTAAATAAGTGAAAACAAAATACAGATACATAAATCCCCTAACATCACTGCTGCCTGATTCATCATGAAAGGATGCCAGCTCTGGGGAGCAGCCATCTATTAAAAACCTGCCCTTTACAGTCGGTGCAATGTACTGTTGTTCTTTAGTGCGGAGGGTGTGCTCAGTGCTTCCCAGAACACCAAGAAGGTACAGCCCCTGCCCTTGAGCTCTCACAACCAAAGCAGACAGCGCAGCAAGGACCTAGAAGGGGAGACGTGTCAGTGGAAGGCAACCAGAAGCTCATAGAGAATCTCCAGATCATACCTGAAATGCAGCCGGAGGCCAAAGCACTCATTAGAGTGTCATGCAAGCAACATTAAAAAAATAAAGAAGTGTGTGAAATAAGATGAGGACCGTATCCTGCACTAGCCGCAGTTTCTGAGAGCCACGTGGAGCGCATCACAAACAGGGACGCGCGTCCGGTGAGTGCAGCTCGGGAAGCGGCAGGGGACAGAGCTACCGGACACCGTACGCGGGAGATGCTCCAGTTTCCCAAACAACTGCTCGTTCAAGGAACGGTTCCTCCGCTGCGCTCACCTCGGACCGCGGGAGCAGCCAGCGATTCCTAAGAAACGCCGCTATTGCCAGCCTCACCAAGAGAAGCAGGCATATGTTCCCTTTGGAGGGAGCAGATGAGATACTCATCGCACCGCTCCAGCAGGACATCTTTATAACGGTGCCAAAAGCACTGCGTAATAGTCCAAGACAGGATGTTAAGCATAAGCTAAGTGACTGGAACTGCAGGGGAAATTTAAAGCAGCAGAACGCAATTAACCACGCTGGAATTTAGCTCGATACTGAAGCTGCCTCCTAAATGCCAGAGGCTCTTTAACGACAATCCTGAGCACGTTTAAGCAATCAGCACCGTAACTCCGGAATAACACGGGTATAAAAACACCTAGCTGCTGTCGGACCCTCCAGTGTCACAGCACAGGACCTGGGCAGACTTGACTTACCTCTTCCCTGAACACAGCTGCTTGGTCTTTGCAACCAGGCAAACGCTGGATAAAGCTTACCACCTGCGATTAAACGTGGGAAAAGAGAAATATGGACAATTAAAATGGGATATCATCAACTAAAAAGATCTTATTCCTGTATGTCAGCTTTATATGTGAGAATTTTTAATACTTTTACCTTTCCCAATAACGAAGGAAACGCATGAAAAACATTACTGGGTTGTTCCAACACACCCCTGCAAAGTGTCTTTTCGCTAGCAATAATGCTTTCTGTATTGTCACTTACCTGATTCTCTTTCTGCAAGTGTCCAGTTTTTCAGTTGCTCAAAAGGTTCCTTATAAAATACCATCATTATTTTTACAGATTAAAACCTGCGTATGTCTATACTATTTTAAATTCATCTACGCAGTTCATTTTCTGTATGGTTTTTTCAGAATGCAAAATTAAAGAGAAAAAGGATTTAGACAACTTCACATGACAACATCCCTTTAGGAGGCAAGATTGAAACAACTGAATGAACACTACTGGCTACAAATATACAGATGACATCAAATGCTAGCAAGGAAAGGAGTTTTGGTTTTATTTAATCTGCGGTGGTTTGATGGACGGGATCCATGCAATCAATAGGATTAAAAGAATATAAGTGAATTTGACGTTTAATACTAGGCAAAACATTTCCAAGGAGAAATACGTTAACATTTGGAATAAGCGCCCCAGAGATGCATGCAAGCAACCCATGGATTACGTTATACAAATGATGTCAGGAGCATTCCTGAACTCAATGGAGGACGACTTAATACGTATTGTCTTTTCCATCTGCAGCTCCACTGGTTCACAGATCTGTATCTGAGGCATAATAAGATCAAACATCTCATGCTAATTGGATGCTCCCTTGCAGGAACAGCTCTATTTCATGAGGCATATTCACTTGAGTTATTACAGATGTGACATTTCTCCCACGAACGCAAACAGACAAACAGTTGAGAAGGGTCGCTGTCGGATACTAGCTTCCCTTCAACTGCCGATTGTCAGAGTCTCTCCTAAATCATTTCAATGTGTCTGCAGCCCATCCCTTCCCCCATTTCAGACTATGCAGGAAGGCAACTATCAAAGTGCCCTCCGGTTTCACACTATCCTGGCAGAAGCTGAGTTGTGGAGAAGAGCTCCGACTCCTGTCGTTTCTGTTATGCAATCCGAAAGTCGAACATCTCTCTCATCGGGTATGATGCTCCGCCATTATTTTGTGCTAGCAGTGAAGGCTCCATTTTTAGGGAAACCCCTAAAATCAATAGCTTCATCGTTTAACGACACCAGATTTGGTAATGCAGATGTGCAAACTCCTACTATTAACAAATAGCAAAATAGTACTTCCCCTGTACTTTCTTTTGAAGCCTCCCCCATAGATTTAAAACACAAACCTTTTTGCTGGGTCGGGCATCTTCCAGAATTTAACAGATAATCTGACCTTTGAGGGCAAGGTGATAACATCCCTTAGGCTCAATGATATTTAGAGGCTGGTAGAGCTCTTGGGGGAATAATATACGCTTGCATTGCTCCTGTATCCTTCCTGGACAATTGCTGCTGGCCACTGTCACAGACACTAGGAGCAAGGGGCCTTTGATGTGTCCCCAAAGAGCTACCTGGCTCCCTGGTCAAGGGACAAGGGAGGCTCAGGGGCTCAAGGCCAAGACACAGGAGCACCAAGGGGTAGAGGAAACTTGTCTGCCCCACCAGACGATGGCTGTGGGACCCTTAAGCAAGGGTAAAGGCGAGGCTGGGAGAGTTTTAAATGGGGAGCAGGAGAAGCGTCGGACCCCAGCACCAGGAGAGAGGGAGCTGGAGGCCTGTAAGAGGGTGCAGGAAAAGAGATTTGTCCAGGGATCCTCGTCCTCTGGTTCCTCAACACCTTTAGGAGATAGCAAAAGCCCTGAGGTGCACAGGTAGCTCTGCTACGAGAAGATGAACCCCCACCTGCCTTTCTGGCTGGTGGTAATCTCCAAGACAACGCTCACCGAGCTCTCTGGTGGAAGTGTCTTCCATTATGACTTTTCATATTGAGAAGAGAGAGAGAGGGAGGAAAAGAAGTGAGATTTACTTGCAGAGTTTTAGGTAATTTTGAGAGCACCTTAAAATTCCTTGCAACCCGCATGGAAGGTGCTGACAGGATCCCAAATGTGTGTGGCACATTAAAATCAGCAATGTTGCTACACCTGTTTGGTGAAGTTTGAGGGTAGTCTGATACAGCACCCCTTTGATAGCAAGCTATAGTAGGACTGACAGTGCCTGGTGAAAATGGGCAGATAGGAGCTGGCATTAACTTGGATTTGGTAATCCACAAGCAATTAGCACAAAGACAGTTCCCCCTACAAAGTATTAGCATCTCATGCAGGATTAACTACTGCACAATTCAACTCTGTCACCTATCAATGTTCTACTGTGATTCACTATCCTTCACTAACTGTGCTTTGAAAACAGGACAGGAAGCTTTCAATAAATAACAAAGCTGCATTAAAATAACTACTCTTGTTGATTGTTCAGCATTATCAAGAGTCTCTTAGCTTGAGGGCGTTTAAATACTGCTGCTGCTCTGCCAGTTCAGCTGTTCTCAACCAACAGAGAATTAAAGAATGATTTTTTTTTCCCTTAATGTGGGTTTTATAAAATAAACACAGTTCTTCATCTGAAACCAAAGGAGAATTTTACACCCTCATCGCTCTTGTTTCAGACCAGCGGAATGGTCTCCTTTGTGCCAGCGCTCAAAGCACAACCCGTACGCAAATCTTTGCCCTGCAGGAAGATTTTAGGAGCCCAAGCGCCAGCAGATCAGATCTACTTTGGACTCACTAAAACGCAGAAAGCCCTGCTGCTTTCGTCTTCACAGACCTGCAGCTACATTTCATTGCACATGCTGGTCTTGCAAGCGCTCATACAGAGGCCCATTTGATTCCTATGGGAATTTGCAATGAACTTAGTTTGCAAAATCAGATCCATTTTATTGAAATTCAAGACAAAACCTGTAATGACTTTAGCCGGTCCACTGCAATGCTGCAACTGCTCTTTTTAATGTGCCATTCACTCTCACTGGTAGTCACTTTATCTGTTGTTTCAGACTGCGGCACAGATCACAGTTTAGGGTATTCTGGGTTTTGAACCACTATGTCCAGAGTGCCTTCATTCGTTCACTGTGGTCCCTACTCACACTCATCTGTTACCTAACTAATACCCCAGTTAAATTTACCCTGCAGTTGCTTTAAAGGTCAACTGCAAAGGACACAACTTATTTGGCTTGTATCCTGACTCTGCTCTTCCATGAAACAACCTCCATGTTCTATCCAAAAGATAGAGATTCTGCTTGTTTTTATGTCAGAGGATTAACTGCTCCTGCCCTCATTGATTTACTATAAGACCTTTTAGAAAAATCTGTGCAAGCTTTGAGAAAGGATGCGAACAGCAAATCTCTCATAGAGAGATTTTTTCCCTCCATGTTTGCTACAAATTCAGTTCAAATACATTTTCCTTAAAACACAAAACAAAACAAAAAGAAGGACTGAGTTTTAAACCGTCACTCTAATTGTTCTAGCCTCTTCCCAATTGCTCTGGTGCCCGTTTCCTCCGATACTGCAGTCCCCCCAGACTCAAAGCAGTCCTCCAGCATGAGGAGCAAAGTCAAGATTGGATGTAAGAGGCACTTAAGGAAAATGCACTTTCTAAAAGTCTCTGAAGACCCTCGATGCTTCATAAAAAATGGCACCTTTTTCCTGCCTTGCAGATTAGCTACATCCTTGCAACTGTAACATTACCGCATGTTCCTCCTGAATTAAGTGGCCTATGAATAAGCGCCAGGATCCAAACTGTCATCACCTCCCGCGCAGAGGTACAAATATTATTTATGCCCAAGGCACCGAGGCAAAAACATCTACTCAGCACCCAAAAGATACCAGCTTTGTCACATGCCACCTAATTACAAGAGACATCTCAAGAGCTAGGACTGCCGAGACAGATCTCCAGCTGCACGGCTGCCTCTGCCAGAAACCAGGTCAGGCTGTGGGCAGTTTTGTTCCAGGGGAAACAGGCAGGGAGACGAAGGAGGAAGGGGCATGCACCGCGCGGTTTGGAAGTATCTGCAACGTAAAAGTGGATCAGCAGCCAAATGACGGGAGAGGGGGAGGGAGATCAGAGAGAAGCAAAATCTGCTGTCGGGATCATGTTTTGGGCCTGAGGACGCCAAGATCAAGGGGTAAATAAATAAATACAAAAAGAACGCTGTTCAGGGAAATACCCCATGGACACCAGAGGGTTAATACGGCTCCTTCCCCTCCCTTTTTAAGGGGGCTTGGGTATAACTTCTGAGTCAGTAATTTCTTGCATATGCCATAGCTGCAAAGCAAACCGAAAAGCATTGCCTAGGAAAGGAAAGAGAATACAGATGTCTTTCCAAGCAGCTCTAGGAGCCCCCTGGCTTTCCCTCGTGCCGCGGGAGCGCAGAACGGCGGACTCACCTCTTCCACTGTCCATTTGGCCACGTGCTTGGCTGTGAGGCCCGAGACCTCGGGCAAGAGCCTGCAGTGCTGCTCCCAGCAGAGATGGAGGCGGTGGCTTGGGTTAGAGGACAGGGAAGGCATGAAGATGGACTGGTGGAGGGCCTGCTGGAGATCGAAATCAGGGTCTGGAAAAGGAAACGAGACAAGTCAGAGCAGGTCTTCGAGAGCAACTGTAACAAAGCAGGGGGAAGGGTCACGCTCCGGAGGGAAAAGCGAGGCAGGGCACGCACACGCAGCCGGGCACTGCCGGCTCATGGCACGCTGCGATGCGGGGCGTGCTCCCCCCTGCTCCCGAGACAGGGAAAGAAAAGCAAAAAAAGGAAAGACAAGATCGCCGGGCTGGAAGCTTTAGCGTTAGCTTCCTCTCGGCAAAACGATGTCACGCCGCTCACACAGAAGATGTTTGCAGCGTTTTATTGACAAGGTGGAGGAGTTCTGGTAACAGCATCTTCAGCTGGAAACTAACGGCATCGCGCCAGCGCACAGCTGTAGCCTGCCTGCTAAGAGCCCTACGTGTGCCAGCTGATGGCCCGGCTCGCTGCCTCCCCAGGAGGCTCCCAGGCCAGCAGCACTGCAGGTTACCTCCAGACATCAATTCCCTCCTCATCTGTCAAATGATGGAGGCTTAAAAAAAAAATCACCCCTCCCTAATGAGATCACTTGGGTAGTGCAGAGTCATGGTCCTATAGGGATTTGGCCGCCCCCCCCCCCCCGCCGCTGCCCAGCCTCGCTCTGTTTCGCCGGGATGCGCCGGCTTCCAGGCGCCATCACGCGGCACCGGGACGAAAAGCCCGGTTCGCTCCCGGAGGAGCACGCATGCACAGCGCCAGTACGGCTTCTGTTTCCCCTCTCCCCCGGCCGCGGCCAAACTAGATTTAATCGGTGTTGTTATGAAGAGTAGCTCGCAGGACAGCGCCTAAGGACCTGGGTGGCGTGCCGGTCCCCGCCGTCAAGCACAGCGCGGGAAAGAAGGAAAAAAGCAAGTTTCCAAGCGTTGCCCACCTCGTCCTCACCAGCCAAGGTGAAAGCGGCACCAAGGGTAGAGCCTGGTCTAGCACAACGTTACTGCCCTGTTCCCGGGTGCGTCACCTTACCTCGTCTCCTCTCCCTGAAGGATGCGGGACAGCATCAACTACAGGTCTCTACTTCTAACATTGAGACCAAAGTGGGAAGATTAAAAAAAGTAAAGCCTGATTAAAACCTGCTCGTCATGTAAGACTGCGCTTTAAGGAGGCAGCAACCTGAGGCGGGGAGGACGTCCGAAGGTAGGTCTGGACCTTCGCAAAGAGGGGCACATACAAGGGATGAGGTCTTTAGCTGCAGTAACAGTGAACGAAAAGCATGACTGCCCTGAAGCGCGCACGCAAACGGTGACGGGCACCTGGAGGGACAGGGAGGCTCACAGTAATACCAACTGGAGCATCTTCTTCTTCACTGAACCCAAATCCTGGCGGGGAAATGTCCAAACTACCATCTGAAGAAATTATGTTCTTTTTGAGAAGGAAGCAGGGTTCTAATCGTTTAAATAAAGATGGGACGAAAGCTTTGGGCAATTGTGAGATTACAGGTCAGCGGATTATTGGAGAATTTCCCTCCACTGATTTATGTCATTCTGGTTAAGGTGAATGCGAAGGGAAGGGAGACAGCTTTCCCTGCCAACCCCAGCGCAGCGTGCTGCTGGCAGACTTCTCCTGCTCCCACTGCAGCAGCCAGCACTAGGTAAAAAAGAACAGAAGAAAAGCTAGGCACCTGTCCCAGTTTGCGCCTGCTTAGCTATTTTTGATCGCAGATTTATTACCATGTTAAATCCCCCTAAAAGCCTGGTCAGCTTCGTTCTCTGAAATGGCTTTTTATAGTAAATCCGAAAGCTAAAACATACAGTTTGCTGAAGTGATATCAGAAAGCTTCTCTTGAAACTTAACCTGCCACATACCAGAGCAGGGGGGGAAAAAAAAAAAGATGATGTTTTTCCATTTGATTCTTTTAATTTCTTTTTCATCCTCAGGAGAACTTTAAAAGAGCTGCTACCCAAAATAACTAAATACGTTTCTGAGAATCCAATGGGCTCCCCAGAAAGGAGTCGGTGCAACTTGGTCAAAGCTTGGCAGACAGATGTTAGATTTAACTTGTCACCTCTCAGCAGAACTGTCTGCAAGTGTTTCTGGGTGGCTTCGTAGCTGCGTTCTTCAGTAGCTCAACAAATACTACGCCTGGCACAGACTGCATAGGGAATGAAACCCCCACACCATTACAGAAGAGTATGCAGTGGCATAAAAGATGAGGCAATCTTGTCTTCTCAACTAATAAATAGGGGGCTTCACTCTACAAAGTATTAAATCTCAGGTTGCTAAGGGATTTTACCCTTCTTCCTCGTTTTAAAGGAAGCAAGGGGGAAGAGAGTTAAGACTACTGTTACACCATCCCCTCGCACGTGCGCTTTCTCTTGGCTGTGGAATCAAAGACAAAAAAGATGTAAAGCTTTAAGCGGTCCTCGTGGTTTTGGTATTTAACACATACACACACACACACACACACAAAATTAACCAACCTTTTCCGTCGTCTTCCGGTTTCACCAGCTGCAACTTTATATAGGCATGCGAGCACCCAAGCCTGAAAGCATCAATCGCAAAACATTTCAAAAGATGGCACAAATTGAGATAATTGCTCCTTTTTACAAAGATTGATGGGACTTTCAGAAACTAAGGTCTTTTCCCTCTTGAAATTGGCAGTACCACCACTCTGCCTCGATCTCGCTTTGTCTCTACGAGAAGGACTGTGCTATTAAATGCACGGCCAGAACTCAGACTCAAGCTTACTGCAGGAAAAGGAGCCCACAAAATAATGGGAGGAAGGGAGGGGATTTAAAGTTAACATGTCATTCTAAAACCCTGTACTGCAAATCTCTGATCAAAGTGGGCTGTTCTAAGCCAGTGATTTACATCTGTACTTCAGACAGAGCAGCACCATCTTGATATACAACTGTTGATGCATGAAAATACATTGCAAAAAATCTTATTTACTTTTTTGGTTTGGCTTTGATGGCTGCGGAGGATTCCTCTTCTACCCAGTCTCTCTCTTGATTGTTTTCAGACTGCTCCGACAGGCTGTGAAGGCTGCTTTGACACGATTTTTCACTGCCTTGCGCAGATTTTCTGTAGAGACAGGTAATTGATACTAGCTAGGCCGGCGTGCACTGTTCCCCTTTTCCCAGGGGAGAGCAAAGCTGGCTGTTTCTTGCAAGTGGAAGCACCAACCACCATCTAGCGGTGGAAGCTTCCCTCTCTCCCAGGACAATTATTGGTGCAGTACAAAGTGCTTTTTACTCTTTAGCGCCAATTCAGAGAGCTTACGGGAAATGCGTTTTCCCCTGTGGACTGAGGCTGTGATCCCAGCTGCTACAAGAAACCCACAGAAGCATGCATTCTGGTGAAATCAAGAGATTTCAGAGTTTTGAATCCTGACACCTCTGGATAACATTTAAGAGAGTTTGCATGACTGAGTTTGAGGCATAAATTGAGCTACACAGTTGTCCAGGGAAGGGACAAGCAGTAGGGCGTTACAAGATTTGCATAGTGAATTCAAACTTCCCACCCTCAGGAAATGAAAATATTTAGAAAAGAAATATATTACAGTTTGAAAATGCCTTTATCCTGGGAGGATCCTGAAGCTCTGAGAAAACTTTATGGTAACAGTGCCATTGAAACGCAGTCAATTCTGGGGTTGAAGCTAGCAAATAGAGAGCCCTGCACGCTACTGGGACGGGGAAAGGGCAACTTTGGCTACGTATGCCTGGGGAGAGAGAAGTATTCCTTTTGTCTTACCAAACATATCTTCAAAACGTTAACAATCTAAGCAAAGCACACAGGCTTTAAAATGTTTAAGAGTCCTCATATACTACAAAGACCAAAAGTATTGCTGGAGATCACCCTAGGGAGACAGGATTCCTCCAGGCTAAGGGTGACAACAGTTAAAGCCGTCACGTCCAGGCCAGTCCAACGACACGTTTTAACTGCCTCCTGCTGTCCAAGAACTAATACATGGATAATATGTATGTTATTTCAACAATACTCAAGTTTAAGATTTTCATACAAGATAACGAAATATCTGAAGGAGCTCAACTTGTTTGCCACGTGATACATATACGGTCATTACACCCACCAGCGTAACGCAGCCGACTCTGGGGTGGAATGCAGTTACAGTTTAATAGTGCAAAATAATCTTGCTTGACAGTTTTAGGACAGGAAATGAAGGAAAAGAATATATGTTAAATTGAAACAGCAAGGAAAAATTTATGGAGGCAGAATGCAATTTCCTTTGTTGGAATGTGACCAGAGCAGCAGGATTAAGGAATCAAGAAACCTATTAAGGCGTGTGAGGACACATAAGTGCACTGTTCTTTGTTAAGGTTGTCTGGGGCATGGGTTAACATTACAGGCAGAGGAACTCAAGACTTCACTGCTTCTCTGTCAATTCCTGCGTTTTTCAGCCTTGTAAAACAGTTTTGCTCCCTTGTTATCTGCAAAGGAAAAGGACTGGGCTCACCTGGAGTGTGGAGAGTCCTCCTGCGAAGACTCTCCTGCTCCCCCTAGAAATGGAGCAGCCGTATCTGGCCTCTTGTTTTTCTGAATGCTATGGCTAGGGGAGGGTCTCTCCCCACTCAGACGGTCCTGTAACACGTTCTCTCTGTTGAGATTCACATCCGAATATGGGCAGCCAACTAACCTGTGTTACCAAAAAAAGAGAGAAAGAGAATATGATGCATGTTTTTAGGTCATCTAGTCACACCAGCCTCAGGCAGACACATTCATCAACAAACCCAGGAAAACACAACATTTCTGGGGATGCTGCAGAAATCTTTAGAGGAGCAGACTGTAGGCTTAATAGCTACAGGTGGTCGTGTGTGGCACAGAGCAAGAGAGCAGTAGCAGGCCAGGAAAGCAGATGGGGATGCTGCTTCATGCTGTGCTGGCAACTTAAAACGGGTGAGCATCAATATAAGCGAGAGAAAAATTAATCGCATAGGATGGTATGGAGAGAAGGGGAATAGCAAGCTGAGAGAGTTTTAAGGCAGGGGGTTGTCAGAAAGAGGAGCACAATGCTGCAAGGTTAATGGGATGAAGATGTTTCAAACACACAAGACAAGTTCTTTTGAGAGAACGAATAAGAGCATGAGGGGGAGCTGATCGGACATCGAAACTGAAATGACATCATCAAAACACAGGCAGGAGAACTTCTTTTTAAGTGTTTCATGTATTCCACCATGGTGCAGGACCCCACTACTGCTCCAAAGGACACAGCCTTATAAAAACAAAAGAACTGAGGCCAAAAACACTTCCAAAAGAGAGATATTATTACCCAGTTTTGAGCATAGGAAACCAGAGGACTGCATGGCAGAAGTAAAAAACAAAGTCACCTAACTCACATTTTCAAAGTCAGCCTAGTCAGAGAACAACAGCGCTCTTCCTCTCTAGCCTGTTTGAGCAACATTTCACGAAAACAAAACACAGTCCTGCAAATTTCACTCTGAAAACTTCAAAGCCCTTACCACGTTATGTGACACTGGATCTTCAGAACTCCTCTCTGTGATTGTTTTTGTGCTCTGTAAGATGATCTAACCAGGAAAAATCCTCCTTTTCCAACAAGACATAAGAATTCGGAGGCAGAGCACAAAACAAGAGCTAGCTCTCCCCACACCTACGCTATAACAACTTATCCCCACTCTCTCTCCCTTTAACTGCCTGCTGGCATACTGTTCTTGGGTATGTTATTCTACAAAAGAAATTCCTTCACTGATGCTGGGAAGTAGAAATCGGACTGAATTAACCTAAGCTAGATTACATTGCAGTTGCAATGATTCTACTGGGGTAAACTGAATTGACGTGGAATAGCACATTTAGACACAAGAGGGAGCTGCAGCTGCAGTTATAACCATCTCCAGAACAACCACCCTGCAATGATATCAGTGTAATGCAGGTGCTTACTGCTGCATTACTACTACAAACAGCAACCAGAATCGGACAGGCAGAGCACTTATAAGGAGACCTCATACACGTACGTATAATGTGTTCCATATCGTGGTCCCTTGACATGACCGATGCCGTGACAGCCCGGAGTAGGACACGTTTGTCCCACTGTTCCCACTGGGCCAACAGCACCTGATAAAGAAGAAAAAGTTAAAAAGATTCGTAAAAGCTTCCTGCATTTGAAGAGCAAGTTGCACTTAAGAAAATGTACAACATGACAATACGATGTCATCTATTTTACCTAGTGGGACTTGCAAAGCATGTCCAGTTTTCGCACACCAGCCTACTGGGTGAACATCAGGGCTGTCCGCATCGACCCAGAAATCATAATTACGGTCCCAACCATCGAAATGTATCTAAAAGAAGCACATAGCACACAGCCTCAGTGAGGGATACAGTTAAGTATATGACTCAGCTTTTATTTTAACTTCTCCCTTTGTTTCATCTTGCTCAGCTCGGGCTGACTCATTTGATTCTTTAAGGCATGCACAATCAGCCTTCGTACGCTCAGCATAACTATTTGTTTTCCTGACCCCCCCAGTTATGTTTCACAGAACAAAGAGGTTCTGGTGACACGGTCAAATCACAGGGCCTACAAGAAAGCATAGAGCACGGGTTGCCCATCAAACTCTTCATTTCAAGACTACAGACAGAATTGCAGAATTTTTTTCTTCTGAGAATCCAAAAACACCATAAAAGCCAATGAGTTTGGCCGGTTTTGCAGTGAACAGACTAGAATTTTCTACTGGATGAAGGGACTAGTAGTAAGATTTGAAATGCTTCGCGTTGTTGGTTCAGATCCAGGTCAGGCTGACAGAGACTAAAGACTACTGCTGTTTAAAGGCTGCTGGGTTGTTTATGTCGTAGAGTTTCAGGCAAATGCATGGCCACACTACAAATCATGCTGCTATATTTGGCAAAACTTGACTTTTTCTTTGCAATCACCGTAGTAAGACTGAGAATCAAATGGCCAGTGGGGAGGAGACTCCGCTCCCACCCCGTATCATCCTTCAGGAAGGAGGCCCGTTGCCAAGGAGGCTCCATCAACACAGCCTTCATTTTTGAGGTTGTACCTTGATGCGACGGTCGTCTTTGTCAACTATTGTTGCCACTCTTATTAAGATGGGATTTCTTCTGTCCACAGCCTCTAGCTTCATATTAACTTGGAATCCGTGAGCAGGACGCTGGAAAAGAAGATTGAGAGTAGAACGCAAAACACAGACAACGTTAAGAGAGCCCGAAACACCCCACTGTTGAGCACTGCTCTTCATTACATATTACTTGATGTGGAGGATCTTGTTTTGGTCACTGTGGACATTGCTCATGTCCCACAAGCCCCCACTTTAACAGTTAGCAAACGGTTAAGGCACTGTCAGCTCCTGAGCACAAGAGTTTAGCGGTACAGGAACGGCACCATCTCTTAATGGGAAAAGGACTTCGAGTTAGGGGCTGAACTAAGCTGAGGCACCACTCATGGGCAGCCTGTCTTGCTGCCACTTGTGGTCTTTTCTTTTCAGGGAAAAAGCACAGTGAGCATTCATCTGATGATCTCAATCCCACCAATTCTACCCGCTTGAAAGTCACTTAACCATCTGAAGAAATCTAAGTAATGTATCCTTCCTGGCATCAGATGCAGCAATCTCTGCCTAAGCCTTTGGATACTACTGGGAGTCACATCTTCCTAAGCCTTCATTTGGCAGGTGGGCTGGAAAATGCAATTGGTTTCGCTTCACTGCAGTGCAAAGTTTTTCTCTGATACAAACATTTTGTCATACCTGTAACTTCACACTGAGGACACCCCCTTTCCTTCCCAGCGTGAGAAGAACTCATAGTGGGAAAATCCCTGTTACCAAGGCAACTGCAGGTATTTCAGACCTTTGCTTTGAGCCTGGGCTTAGACCTGCCTCAGGAAGAGCTCTCCAGAACATCACCTTCCAAAGCTAAAGAATATCGCACTAAACACAGCTTTAAAAGTGCTATTCAACTCGACTCACTTGCAGCAGAGCACCGACATCAAATGCAGGAAACGCAAGAATATTCTTCCTTTTCAAAGTACTTAGTGGACAAGCAATAGGTGGAAGGGGGAAAAAAAGGCTGTACAGAATTGAGGGAAGGGCAGAAAAGTCAGACCCAGGAAACTAGGAACTGCATTAAGGAATTGTTAGTATTGCAGGCACCAAGGTATAGAGCTGGTCTGAGCTCAGTAGACAACATAACCAAGGGGACGCACTCCAACCTGAAGTGTCGCTGGTGAGGGACAATGGCGGAGGGCCAGGGACTGAGCCTAGAGGTCAAGATGGACACTAGTATCTACTCTGATAACTAGCATCTACTTGTTACCGACTGCTGAAATGACGGCGCTGGGGAACAGCGCTGGGACTCCGGAGCGGTTCCAACTGGAGTCGTCTCACATCTGCAGTTGCTGACTCACCCTTTTCCAAATCATCTCCCTCGAACCCTAGCGGGTTTTTTTAACTATTTTGTAAAAACATCAGAATGTCCTTTATCTGATGCACCCCCTTTGCAACACCCACAGATGTAAACCTCCAAATAACAGGCAGCATTTACAAATTTTTCCATTTATCTTTAAATTCCTCCTCTGAACTCCTCAGCTGGGGGTTATGCAGCAGTGGATACTCATTCAAGATGCGCCCTCCTTCACTTGTGCACACAATGGTCAGGATTTTAGGCAGAGATGACAGTTATTTCTAAGTCATGTGCCTGAACAAGACCAGAAGGTTTATGAAAAGATGATTATAATCCCTCTTTCCTCACAATCTTACCTTATTTACTGTCAGTAGCTAGGGGGAAGGAAGGAAGCTCACTTCCAAGATAAGGGGATTACAGACTCGAAATCTAAAGTTCCTCTTTGGTTCTTCACACAGATGCAGACATTTAGCCATAGGCTTCCAGCCACGCGACACACCAGAACCTGGACAACCTAAGCCACTTTTAGTTCTAAGAGTGTCTTGCTGACCTCGTCTTTCCTTCTTGGGGAAAGAAGTCAGGGAACAAAATTCTGCTCAAACGATGAGCAAGGCTACCTGTTTAAGCACTGCTGGCATTTTTGGCATTGGCTTCTGAACGCTTCTGAACTGACACCTCACGACAGCGGACAGAAACAGTGACAGAAGTACTGACAATGAAGCTGTCTCCTCCTGCGTTTTTGGGTGGTGAAGTCCAGATATAGAATCTGCTATTTGTGCTGACGATCAGCGTCTCCAGACTCTGTATGATAGCTCTTGAAAACTGCTAAAAATTAATTCAGTGAGAAATGCCAGTTCTGGCTCTCAACCCATATTTTTATGTACTGATTTGCTGTAATTGCTAGCTGCAATAGTAATAATAATAATAATAAAATCCATAACTGTGCCATGTATTTGCACTTGAGACCAGACCAGGCTAGAAACATAATGAAATGTGATCTGGGAAGAGCTCTATTAACCATTAATGAATCAAATGCTATTTTTTTCTGTCTCATTTTTGAAATACAGACTTGGATATTAATTTATATTAGGGAGTTTCATGAGACCCATAATCAGCCCTCCCTACTGTTCTCTCAAAGCCAGATTTTTGAAGGAGCAAAGCAATGGCCGCAGAGAAGATGGTAATATGGGCTAAAAAGTCAGGTAAGGCAAATGCATGCCCCTTGGAAAGACACTGCATTTTGGAAGAATCCAAAAGAGGGAGTAGCCAGTACTGAACAGGCTCCCTGTCCTGAGTATCTTTGGGTGACATTTCTCATGTTTTCCGAAAATCTCCTTTCATAGTCTGAAAATTTGAGGGAACAGGGGCGCAATGATAGATTACTGAGGATTTAAGACTGGGAATTTTAAACGGGTCATACTTCACCGTTTCTTTTTATGTCATGAAGAATTTTATCACCTTTTCAAAATATTTGTGTCTACACAAAATTAGTCCTATTGTTCCTGTGTAGACCAATTACTGCATTCTTTCTCTCTTGATATATTGAAGGTTCCCATTTTCCAGTGCGGCTGGGATTTCACCAGCCCAGCTCAGAAAAAGGCTGAGCCTACACTAGGGGCAACAAAAGGCTCCTGCTGACAAGCTTCATTGATTATCCAGCGCACCGGCTCTCAGGTGGTTCACGTGCTGCGCTTACGATTGAAGACATTGTCTGTCCGAGTGTGGAAAACCTTAACCCAAGGGATGCTTTGGAGCGTCACCGTCCTGCAGAAGACTCCAGCTGTGGCCTTCTCGTTCTCTAGGGAGGCAAGAACGGCCTCTTCCTACTCTGCAATACCCCCTTGCAGCCTACAAATGGACACCTGCTGTAATCTCACAATTATCAGTCTTGTCTGAGTCTTGTCCCTTATCTGAGGCCTCTCTGATTGCTTCTCCCTCCTCACTCCCAAAGAGCTTACCACCAAAATATACTGGAGGGCAGCAGGTATTAACCTGCAAGTCTAACTTCATCGAGTGCAACAGCACAGAGTTTTTTTTACCTACTGCAAAGTTTAGCCAGGTGAGCCATCAGCCCGGAAGAAGCTGCTATGACATGAAAAAACAATGTTAAAAGTATGGGGTTTTTTAAAAGTTGTGTTAAAGGGGTTTCTGTTTGTTTTTGCTCCAGATAAATGCACCGAAATTCGCTAAAACAAACTGAAGCCCATGTTCCCAATGTTGAAAGAACTATCTTCAGATTCGGTCTGAAGGACGGTCTTGCACCATCTAGGAGTTTGGCAGAAGTGCTCTATCATCTGGTAGCATGCTCATTTCAGCCTCACCAACCAGGGGAAGAAGGATCTGCACAATTTGTGAGGTAAAAGTACTTTAGAAGAGTTTCTTGAAGAGACAGTTTCAGGCAGTAACACACACCAGTCCTGGACCAACTCCAGGGGGAAGTGGACCAGATCACGCTACCCACAATACCAAAGGAGAAACAGGCAGGCGCAGAGCCTTTCTTAAGCTCCTTAAGGAAACCACAACTGGTTTTGACTTCCTTTGGGACCACCAGAAGGCAGACAGACACTGACAAGGTCCGTTTCCCAAAGAAGAGGATCTGAATCCCTGCTATTAAATTCGAGGTGGGGAAGGCCATACACAAGCACTGCGTAAAATGGAGACTGTGGGACCCAGCAGCTACAGCGTAGCAGAGATGCAGGATGCGAGAAAGAAAAGATGCTTTGTTGTCTCCTCATTTATTTCAGTGCAGACTTTGCCTGCGGCTTGGCTGGCAACTAGAATTACATCCCCCAAGTTACTACAGAGAGATTTTTCCCTTCCCCTAGAGTTAGGCAGCTCCAATGAAACCTTCTTGCTTGCTCAGCTTGCTTGTTGAGCAAGCAAGGAACTGCATCAAGACCCCATCCCTTCCCATTTCTCCAAAGGGCCTCCAGGCCCCATTCCCGTTCCCCGCATTCCCCTGCTCTGCCCAACGCCTGCTAACTACTCGACGGGCGAGACGCAGCACCTCCGTGCTTGCAGTGCTGCCTTCCCCGCTCTTCTGTCTATCACTTCTCTACTCACGCATCAATATTTAGAAGATCTGTAAGAAAACATCATCTTTGAGTCCTCTCAATTCCAGACATATTTGAGGAACAACTTATCTAGGGGAGGGGGGGACACCTAATGGAGGAATTACACATTGTCCCCCAAGCACACACACCCCCACCTCTTCCTCCCTCTCCTGCAAAACGTCCCCAGTTCGAGGCCAGTGACATCCTCTTCTGATCCCAGTGAAGGGAGAGTCTGGAAAGTCTGCTCAACCAGCAGGAGTCCCGCTCAGATGTCACCTGGGAGGTTCCCTTTGCCTACCCAGTCGGACCACGAGCAGAACACCAGCTCTTTCTCCTCTCCGTGCCTTCCTGAAGTGAGGCGCTGCCCTTCAGGCATTCCTCCAAAAGCTGCAATTGTCTGTATGCACTGGAGGTTTGTCCCTTAAATCTGCTATTGGAGGAACTGAAAACATTCAGTCAAAAATTCTTTCAAAGACAGCTTTTCACTGCATTTTTTTTTTTTTTACGTCCTATAGTGTGCTCTTGTGTTTTCTTTAACCAACAGAGAGGAATGATCTTAAACTCAGGCTCAAAGCAAAAAACCACAGTTTTAACCGTTTGGCACAGACACGGTGAACCACCGTCACATAAAAGATCTAGAAAGAAAGGCCAAATAGCAGCATGGTTTCCCCTACTCTCCTGACTTGAGAAAATCAAAGAGATTCACCAACCAGTTTGAATGCTCTCGCTGGGGCTGCCTGGGAATTGGTTTCTTCCAAATACTTCTCCCATGAGAAGGCTTTGGGATCCTTGTATCCTAGAGGGGGAAAAAAAAGAAAAAAGAAAAAAAAAAGGAGGATTAACATTTGGAAAAAAACACCTGCAGTTATTTGTTACAAACAACAGAAAGGAAGCTATGTAGCACATGCCTATTGTGTCAATTTAGCACTTATAAAGGACGGCACTGGAAAGTGATCTGTTTATTCATGCACACCACTTACAGCACACACAACAGCACGGCAGATTTCCACAGCTTCTACACAAGGCTTTAACCCTGCCGGGAAAAACTTGAACAGTTTATTTCTGTACAACTTAATCAATTCTTATTCTCTTGAGAAAGCTGCCAATTAAAAGCAAGTCGGAGGATTTTGTGATGTGGAATGGCACCACCAAATTAATTTCTTATTTTATTAACTAGTCTGTGTGTGAGTGGCTGTCAGAGTGTAGAAACTTCTCATCGCCTCCTACCTACTCACCCATAGCTGGGTAAAAGTAGCAGCCTGGAGATAAAAGACTCCATCACCATTACCATAATTTTGGGGGTTTGCTACTGGAACGACAATGGAACGTCTCTCTCTGGCAGCAACTTCTAAGCTACATTTAAGAAACGTTTCTACCTCATTTTCCTTGTTATTTGAGTATTTTTGTAGCTTCAGCGTTCTCTTTTGGCAGGAGGGCTCTTCACAAAACGCATAGGGCAGTTTGCAAATTGCTCCGCATATGAATCTCTCAGCGGAGAAATCAGAACTAGCTGCAGATTCTGCTAGGAGCATAGGCAATTCTGATTTTAGTAGGGGAGCTGCTCGCCACAACCTCGTCGCCTGCTGCAGCAGAGGGAACAGATGGGGTGCTGCTGAAGAGTAAGAGTTTATAACCCCATTAGCATCTGCAGTGAAGCCACAAAGGCTAATCCTTCATTCTTGAGGGAGCTTGTATTGCCACCCACTCTACTAAATCTGATAATCGGTAATTACAGAACTTTTTGCTCCAGGGCTGTCAATCTAGCAAGCAGCAGACATGATTTTTTTTTTAAAATTTTTAAGGTGAACGAGAGCTGTCAAGGCCTGAAAACAACATTGATTTTCCTGTAGGCTCTGTCCTTTCTCATTTGCCACCACTTCTTTTCATTTACTGAATGCCAGAGCAGCAGAAAAAAAGACGTGGCTGCAGTTAATCCTTCATTTCCAAAAATTCCATCTTACCGTCGACAAAATTGTGATACTTTTTCTTCCAGCTCACCTTAGAGGAAATACTGCAAATACCTCAGAACTCCCTTTCCCTTCTGAAATCAAATTCTACTGCAAATTACCAAACCTCATTCCACTGCTTGAAAGAGCTATAAAACAAAATAAACTACAGCGGCAACAAATATGAACAATAACATTGTTCAGTCAGTAGAGAAAAGAGAACTGAATGGAACCTGTAACTTGCAAATATATAATTACATGGAAGATGGAGCTTGCAGGTTTTTTGACTGAGGCAGGAAATAAGTCTCACTTTCAACATACCAGGTGGTGGTGTCAGTAGGGTTCCAGTTTCTTGGCAGTAACCAACAGGACGAATATACGGGCTGCTAGCCTCGCACCTGAATCAAAAAGAAAGAACTGGCCTCAGCCAATTTCAAAGCACGAAGAAACACAGAAATTCAAATGCTGCCTGATATGCCTTTGCTGGGGCAACAGATGCTTTCGGTGGGTGTGATCACAGTGTAAAAGACCAGCGTCACCTTCTTAGAATTTATCAAGTTAAATTTTCAAGGCATGCAGGCTGCTCCAAAAGACAGGCAAACACAAAGAAGCCTTAGAATATAGTTGGTGCTTAAAAAAAAAAGAGTGAAAGTTGCATGCTTCTTTAAAAAACATGGACCATACAGACCACCATTCAGCCTGAACACAGATTGTCAAAGTTAAAACAAAAAAACCCACTCACCACTAACAGAAACTCTATTAATTTGGAAGAAGGGGCAATGACTTTCAAGGCTTTACCTTACACATGCATGTTAGCCATTAATTATAGCCGAAAACTAGTGGTTTTTGGCTTGGCTCCTAATTTTATTGCACGTTTTGATCTTGAGTCCCCAAAGAGGAAGAGAGGCCAATTTGAGATAGCCCCTTCAGGCACATCTGCTCCAAGGAAGGGATCACAGCAGTCTCTCAGACCCGGAAAAGCCTATGTGGTTTCAGCCAAACTATACTTTGAAGCTTTGTTTGTTTGTATCTTTTATTGCAGTTTTCAAATTCAAAGCAAAACATGGCATGGGAACAAAGCTTCACAGACGAAAATAGTAAAGGAATAAGATCTAAAGCCCTGTAAATTGAAACACTGATGTTATAAAGCTCTGGGTGACTAAGGCAAAGAAAGAAAAGATCAACTAGCCACCAAGCAGGTGCCTACTCTGAAGAAAGAGCAATACAGGGCATTCTCTTTTGTTTTTTATAGACAAATAGAAAGTGTCTCATTTCATATGGGTTGGAAAACATGCACTATAGAGGGAAAACATTTCCTTTATTAATGCTCCACCTGGCCCCAGAATGAGGGCAGAGGATCAAGATTCTCAGGTGTGAAACACAACTGAAGTGCAGGTCAGGACTTAAAAGCCTATGGCAACCATTTTTACTTTAAAGGCACCTCATCTCAACTCCACCGAAACAAATGGAAAGATTTGTACCGACTCCAGTACAGCCTGCTTCCAAATACAAGTCTGCAGAGACATGCCATCGCCTGTTGCTAGTTCTGGAGGAGAGGATGCTACCACTTCCAGGTGTCTGTCACTACCGAGTGGAGCTTATCCCCCCTTCAGCTCTGCCAGTGCAACGGATAAGGTGAATGCTCCTTAATCTTCTCTGTATCAGCCAGCCACATTACCTCAAGTTCTTCACCGACAGTTGAAGCTAACCCCACTAATTTTGCACTGACCCAACCAAACAGCACTCAAACAGCAGGGGAAACTACTGGGCAACTGGCACTTAAACACAAAAAAACCCAAAAAACACAGTTATCCAGACATTTCAGAACTGACTTAAGATCCCAACTACCCTTAGTGAAAAGGTGAAATAAACCACAATCTATTTGCTGATATATTTTAGAAACAGATTTCCTTTACCAGTAGTCATAACTCTCATTCCAGTTATCAAAATGAATCAGCAGGCGGTTATCCAACATGTCAGTGATGGTTGCGACGCCCATCAGCGACGGATTCTTCTTGTCCACTGCCTCTAGTTTCATTCCCAGACGAAAACCGGATGGTGTGACAGGCTGAGAAACAGGACACCGGGAAAGGGAACATCAGCCACATTGTAGATTGGGCCAATTTAAATTGCCGTTATAAATGCATTTGTTGCAGGTTTTAACCCCGAAACTCACAGACCAAAATACGCTATAGTTACTAGCTTCATGGTACATCTGGCAAGAGAGCTACAGACAAGATTCCCACACGTTCTGATACTAATTGTTACTATTTCTAAAAAAAGGCCTGAACAGCAGGATCTCCAGGTACGCAACACTACAGACTCAAAGGCAGCAGACACACCGAGTCTTCTGGTGATAAGTGTGAGCACTGCAGCTCCTGTCTTATTAGGGGAGAAGTTGGAGAAGCTTCAAGGTAAAAAGGTGAATTGGTCAGAGGCAGAGCTACACGGTCAGGCCCTGATCCTACCGAAGTCAACGCTCTGTCCATCTGCAGCCTCAAATCCACTATGTTGTGGATTTTGTGTCTTGTGAGTGACACAAAACGGGAATGGGCACTATACAAGAACCGAGGCCAACAGCTAAAAGCAAAACAACGCTGGGTGAAGGATGAAAAATGTTCAGGCTCCATAACCTGATGATGGATCCCATGGTGCACGTGAGCGTGCTGCTGGAAAGCAGAAATTATTTTGCAAATTATTAAAATAGAGGAAAGTAACACAAATATTTTGACTGTGGGGACGCAGCAAAACAGATTGTTGCAATATATTTAACAAATGGTAGTGTAAATCTTTCCTCCAATATTAAGGAGGAGGGAAAACAAATTCTCCATCTGGAAAGCCAGTGACTGGGGAAGGAAGAAAAATAGCACTAGTTTCCCATCTTACAAATAAATCACAGCAGGAAATAGCTTGCATCTGATTGCACGCCATGGTTGTACCTCTGGCATGAATGTATTAAAAAAACACGTAAATATTCCAGTCAAAACTTGCTTCACATCAGACCTATTTGAAAACGAATTGTATTCAATACCACCACTTACTGTGCTGAGAGTCTTGAAAAGGCTTTTTGGAGCTGCTTGAGCTTTGCAATTCTTCAAATATGAAGTCCAATTAAATTCGCCTTCCTTGAAACCTAGAAGGAGAGATAAAAGATTGTTTTACACAGCCCCATTACATTCAAATTGGTTTTTCAGAAATGGAAATTACCTGGGAAGAATTTGAACTTTGCATGATAACTGCCCTCATACAATCTCCAAGGGTTATACATTTCCGCTAAAACATTTCTATTTCTCTCTTTTTCACTGCAATGTCTAATCATTAATCTGAAACTGCAAGAGTTTCTAGGAAATGGAAGGCAGGAAAGAAGAAAAAGTTGTGGTCCCCGAAGAGATTCCCTGATTTACTCACTCATCCAATAAATAGTTTTTAATTTGACTAACAACGTCAATCTTTAAGAATATCAAAAGGAAACTGTTTTGTTCTTCTGTGATTCACTGTCTTAATTACACCTCTCCCCTCTAAAGGACTCAGACTGAGCTCGACAATGAAATCATATTAAAAATGAAACATGGATAGCCAGTTCTTAGTAGAATTTACAGTTTCTTGTACACCACTGTAATTTGCCTACCTTTAGGAGGGAGCAGCTTATGATTGGTTTTCTCACACCAGCCGACAGGATGGATGTCTGAGGAATCAGCATTAACCCAGAAGTCATAGCACTCCTGATAGCCATCAAAATGCAATCGCATTCTATAGCCTTGTACCTATAAGCAGGGGAGCTCTCATTATCAAAAAGAATCATAAAGAAGTTAAATAAAAATACTAATGGAATCCTCCTTCCATATTTGGATTTATAAATAAAAGTAAATCTAAGGTCTAATTTATTTTTTAAAAGCCTAATTTTATTTTTCCTCATTTGCACCTCCTAGTTTCCATGCTCCTCTTTCCTCTTTTCAAACAGTAGAAAAGAAAATTGGCCAGTGTAACTTCCTTGGCCTCGTATTCCACATTCCTGTGCTGTAACATCCGGAGCACAAACCCAGCAGGAGAACGTTTATGCCTACAGCAAATCAATGCAGATTTCGCAGAACTGAAAAAGTATAAAAGTATTTCAACTTGCTTTATATTTACTAAGTCTTAGAGTCCAGTTTCATCATTCTTCTTCATATTCATTCACTGCACGGACTAAACAGGTGTATTTTTTCTGAATTACAACTGCAAAAATTTGACAGTAGGTTTTCACGTATAGATCCTCAACCACATAACACTAGTCCTTTAATGTCACCTTCAACTTCTCCTAATCATGTAATTTATTAGACTATTACTCTTGTTGTGTTTCTGATTTTTTATTGGACCAAAAAAACCCCCCTAAAACAAAAACATAAATCTAAATGAGATCTTTGCAATCAGAGACAGGAAGAGTAACTACCTCAGCCACAGTAAGGACACAAAATTGAGATGGGTGTTCAGGATCCAGGCCTTCTAATTTCATTCCGACTTTAAATCCATTTCGGCCTTGTGGGAACGATTGATGCTGTGAGACAAGGGGAAAAAATGGGGGAGGAGAGGAGGAAAAAATTGTTTAATTCCTGAAGACAAAAATCTAATGCAGAGCAACCACCTGCTATGCTTAAGGCTTCAAATTCTTAGTTCACAAAGAAAAACCTATCACTAAATGATTGCTACTTTAATGGACCAGCACAGGTAGAGAGATCAATAAAGGCACAATCACCATATTTCAGATTTACTTAGTATAACATACTAAATACTCTATGAAAAAGACTAAACCAAGAGTTTAGTCCCCTTCACAGCCCAACACAGGAGGGCTGGCAGAAACAGTCAGGAAAGCTAAAATCATTTTGCCTTTATCAGCACGAGGTCTATAGTCCAGACTTTCCCAAAAGACCATGTTCCCTGTAAGATCTCATCTTCAACTGGTAAAAAAGACAAGGCCTGTTTACTCTGGAGTAAAAGTCCATTCATAGAGTCATTCCCAAACACAATTTTTTTTTCAATTTGTTCACAATCTTAATCCGCATTAAACATTTGAAGGACAGAATCAGCTTAAGGAGAAATTTTATCTGGAATTGCAAATGGCTTATTGCAGTACACTGTAACTACTTGTTTTTATTCTCATCTCAGTCTGTAAGGTGCCAAAAGCCCTTGGCTTCAAAGAATTCACTGGGAGACGAACTTTTACTTTGGGCTAAATTCATTCTAAACCTACACTCATTCTCTCCCAACTTAAATGTATTAGACCATGAATGAACATGACTTCCACCCTCCCTTGTAACAATTGCTTCTCATTGAGGTAGTCCATAACAATCCAGCATTCAAAGAGCGAACCGATTGCCAGATTTTGACATAGGAAGGCTGGAAGGGGCACTGTACAACCACAAATCAAGTACAGGGCATATAAGGGACATTAAAATGTTCCCCTCCAATGTTACTTGGCGATTGGCTCACAGCTGATTTATACGGAGCTACCCACAGCAGACTAAACCAGTCATCGTTTATTTGTGAGTGACGTTTGACTGGCTTTTTTGCGGGGCTTTTACTGCCTGCTTACACCAAAACAACCAGTAAACAGAACTGCTGGTCCGATGGCCGTCTCCAGTTCTACTTCCATGAAGTGAGTAGTTCTTGATGTTGCCCGAGAAAAACATAGGAAAAGAGTTCAAAAAGCTGCCAACCTCTCTGAACAGTTTTAAGGGAGCAGCTGGCATCCGTTCCTCTTCTAAGTAGGTAGACCAGTTCCACACCTTCTTCTTCGCAGGAACAACTAAACAAGCAAGCACAGAAAGAAGAATGAATGTTTCTCTCAGATACCTCCCGTTCTGCCCTCTCTTCTCTTTCGCCTCCCATTTCGGCAAGTCATTTATTACAACACCCAGATCCAAACACAGGCACTGCTCTCTTTGGTCAGGTAGAAGGATACTTATATAGCAAGTAGCAAGAGCAGCAGAGGACCTCAGAGTTCACCTCGCCAGCCACATGCATGCCATGGCTGTTATTCCCTTGTGCCCCTCAAAGCAGGCAGTGCTAACCAGCTTTTAAGGAAAAATATGAATTCCAGCAGTAGGACAATCGTGTTCCTTTGGCATTAAAAAAAAAAAAAAATGACATCACAGGTCAAACGAATTGTGGCACCGAAACTGTTGGCAAGCTGCCGACGGAAAGTTGCCACTGCAAAGTTTGGACATGATATAACAATTCTGGAAAACAATTCCTTCTCCCGATATTTCACAGAGGAATAAGGGGTTAGACATGAACTAAAAGACAGCACAGAGAGGCATACAATTGCAGCTGAAACAAACCTAAAACAAAACAAATGAAAAACCAAGTGAATTTTTGGTCAGTTCACAGGATTACGTATATATTTATAACCTGCTAATACAACGATGTATCTAGCAGAAAGGCAGCTACCAGGACAGAGATGAAGACAACAACTTGGCAGGTGTTTGGATTCAGTCTAGCAGGACCACGCTCATCCACACAGTAAATTATATTTTAAAGGCATGTTAAAAATCTCTCCCCAATTTACATAAACCAACTCCCTGAAGGTATATAACAAATCTAACCCAAAGTCTATAAGCAATCGCATGTTGTTTACAGCTTATTTTCTATTCAGAATTTGCAGTCTGTGGCTACGAAGCTCTCTAAAGTCAACGGACAAGAGATTCGTATTGGCTTCAGGGAGCTTTGGACCAGGCTGTCTCCTTCCAGATCCTCTGTGCCGTGCCCGTCACGCAGGCAAGTCCCGCATATTCTAGCTAGCACATTTTAGAAGACTGACTGTGGTAAGAGGGTTATGTACCTAATAAACAATAAGCTATTCTAAATGTGAAATGAGCTCCGCTGCCCTTTCCTCTTCTGCTTACTACTGGTCATTTTATAATAGCTAGTAAGAAAAATCTATAAACATTAAAGAAAAGAGACCATGAGCTTAGCTCACCTTGTTTTATTGGTTTAGTGTTTCTGCGGCCTTTCATATTATTTGATTTATTCTTCTCCTAGACACAGATATGTTAAAAAAAAGTTTAGCAATACTGTTGTTTCCTCTCTCTTTGATCATCTCACAACGTAGGTACAATAAGGATGTAACATGTAACTAACAGAAATATTAGCTAGCATTATTTCTTTCTAAGCAAGCCTGCAAGAGCTTTAGTAGAGTATGTTACAAATATAACTTTCACCCTACAGTATCCCAAAGTGCTTTACGAGTTATTCAATGTAAGTTACTAAAGTTCATTTGAACTTGGCCACTGAAGAGCAGCACAGGACCACAATCTTCATTATGATACACAGGATTTGCTCTCTGCACTGCAGGATTAACGGCTCACACAAGCAACCTTACTGTAATGCTCTATTTTCCCTTCAGATTTTCTTACGTTCATCTATGCCAGAGAACTGATATAGAGAAAAATTATTTACGAAGCCCTGAAGGAAGCAGAAGCTTCAAATGACTACTGTCATAGAAGAACATCCCAGAAAGTTTTGTCTCCCTATGTCACACATTGTGTCAGACTGCCATTCGCATTTCTTCCATGTGGTTTCCATACTCAGGTTAATTCACCCAGGGCTGTCATTTCTCAAAGCAGACCAACAAGGGAAAAATCGGAAATGCTAATCCGTCTGCCAAAACGTGTCCCCAGAGAGACAGTGGGGCAGTTTCAGACGAGGAGTAAAGGCGGGAGGAGATGGAAGCGTTTCTGAAGTCATACATACTTCAAAATATCTTACACCCATCGCAGAGAAAAGCTGAGCGACAAGATGAGTTAAGCTGCTCATGGCATCAGAAATTTCAGCTTGCATAACCAACAAGCAACTCTGCCAGCAGCTGCGAGCCCAGGTCAGGCCTGGCATCCTACGCCCACAGCGGCCGAGTGCAGACTTGCAAGAAGAAGGGCCCTACGGGGACTAAGATGCCTGATTACAGTTAAGAAAAGATCTGGTGTCCAGACTGAGGCACTTCTCTTCAGTCACCATTAATACGGGTTTTTAGCAGTATACATGCAAGTGCTAACAAAGCAGTCAAATTCTGCTGTCTGCCACTCATCTTCAGCTCCACGAAACAGTTCGTGCCTGTAGTTAGACACATTATTTTGGGGGACAGGAACCTTACTGCATGTATTTTTATTACTGTGAAACATACTTGGTGCACAGGCCTGTAACTTACATCTATACTAAGTTATAGTCTGAATTCTGACTTTGACTCCATGTGAGCTATTCACCAATGTCTCCTCCTTACTAATGTGAATCAGGATCAGGCCCAGACCTTTCCCTCATGGGCGTAGAACAACCTCCATTGGCTCCCTTTTTGTTGCACAGTGAAATTTCAGCCACAGAACTGATTTTGCTCTTTACACTTCTCTTTAAAGAAAATGCATGCAACCTCATTTACCTCATCCTCATCTGCATTTTCCTGCTCCTCCTCAGACTCCAGAAGCAGTCTTCTCTTCCTTCGGAGACGTTTGACAGGTCTGTCAGCCTCATTCACCTGACAGCCAATGCTGACATTATGATTTCTACTATTTCCCCTGTTTCTGCAATCATCTGGAATGTCTCTGGTATCACTAAACACCCAAAATTGAGAACAAAATCAAATTAAAGGCCCAACAACACTCTTGCAGTTTCCCCAGTATCTCTGTACCTCTTCGGCAGAATGAAGACGGTTGGGCTGAGAACCTACCAAGTGAATCACATCTGCAGGATTTTTCTAGCTATTTATTTATTTGAAATCACCCCAAAGTACCTGTACAGCTCTTACTACCACAGCCGCTCAAGCGGGGTTTTAATGTTGCCTTTTCACAACTTTATGGAAAGTAAGACATCATCCTTATCTGTAGAGGCGGGGAACGGATGCATCAAGCACATAACCAGAGTTTATGCAGATTGGGAAGAGAAGTTAGGATTGAGCTCAGAGAGAGGATGCTTTCCTCAGTCTGGCATGGGAAGCCTCAAGAGTAGGAGGAAGGTCATCAGCAGAGCTTTGCAGGCGGCTCTGCTTCTGCCGTGCCATTTTAACACTTCCTCTGCAGTTTTCGTTACTGTCACAACAGTAACTTTTCTCAAACATTAAATTCTCCTTGGACATTTTTAAACACAGAATAAGAAGAATCTGGGGTTTACTTACCTGCCTCTGTACTGCTGAGAGCATGTTTGAGCACAAAACTTTCCATTCTCAAAGCCATCCATTTGCCTACAGGCTTGGAAATCAGAACAGGGCGCAACGTCTCTGGGCACTGCAAAAGCAAAGAAAAAGAAAAGTATTAAATGTAAGGATTAAAAATGTGTACTTTTTAAACACCCTTCATACATGGAGTTCAGGCAAAGCCCTTTACAAACTTTCATCAAGTGAACCTCACTGCCCCCCACTGTGAGGAAAGTAATTAGCTGTGCTTTGGCATATAAAAAAGTGTACCATCTCATTAAAGAAAATCACATATAGCTGTAATATTTTAATTTCAGAGAAACCCTGCCCTCTGCAAAAGTGTCAGAGAAGGATATAATCTCAAGGCTGTAACCAGGATACAATCAGAAAACTTTTTACATTTCTTTATTTCTAGCAACCCTCTAACTTGAAAGAGGAATGTAAAACAAGTCCACTTTTTTTGCATACTTATAATACAAAGTTGGTTAAACTTTATCACTTCAGCCTTTACATACGCTTTGGACTTTCATATGCAGCCTCTAAAAATATCAATATTAATAGCAAAATAAAAACAATTATGTTTAGCAAGAGAAACATCTGAACGAAAACATAGTAACGTAAGGAATAACCCCAACGTACCACTTAAGTTTACTTTCTGCAATGATCTGAGTTCTTCCTAACGCAAATTAAACACTTCAATATTAAATATTTTAACAAAACACAGCCGCAGTGATCCACAGCATCAGGAAACTGCACTAGCTTGATGCATACTTCATTCAAGTAATGTTACGCACAAATTCTGCATGTGGGCTCCTATGCATACAGTGTCATTCCTATTCTGGATTTAGTGGCACAGTTTGCATGCACTGCTTTGATCGACCCAGTTTTGAATGCACCCTTTAACAGTTTTAAAAAGCACAACCCAAAACATTGAGAAAACAGTTAGCTTGCTTTTTCCTAGTCTTCTCACCAGTATTCGTACTTAATTCTGTTAAGATGACGGAAATGTTTCATTTATATTTGATTGTTTCCAATAGCCCAATGTGGACGTCAGATGGTCCTGGCTGAAACTGGGCTGATAAACCGCCCACAAATAGAGTGCACGTATACCTGGTTGTGCTACAACTTAAAACCTCTCTATATGCCACTGGGGACCAATGATTCCTGTCAGGGAGAAGACAAAACGGGGAAAATTTGCAACACTGATGGCACCTCCAGAGCTTTGCTCAATTAGAAGTCATGCTGACATACAGAACAAACTTGGATTAAAAGGGTGAGGAAAAACTCTCCGTGCTGGGGTGACCATGTAAGAACCAACTCTTCGCCTAATGGACTGATGTTTCCTTAACTCTCTCACCTATAGGAGGTCTATCCTCAGTGCGAGTATAAGCAAAAGCCTGGAAGAGTAAGTGGAGATCTTGCAATGAATCCTGAGACAAGAAAAGCCAGCAGGGAGACAGGTACAAAGCTTTCCTACCAGAACAGAACTTTCTTTCAAAATCCTGGGGAAAGCCAACTGGCAGATGCTCATCCAGGCAAGCAACAAGAAGAGAGAGGTTTGCTCTTCCCAGACCCGAATCCTACTTACCTTCCACAAAGAGGAGCACAACACCTGAGCCAGGTACTGTCACGACTCTGCGATAATTACATTCTCCCTAAATACTTCTAAAATATTCAAAATAGACAGTGACTCACCACAGAGTCTGTGCCAGGCAGCGCTGTGCTACCGAAATAAATGTTTTGGTTTGACCTGCTTCTGGAAGCTTTTTCAGAAACTGCATGTACGTATGAGCAGCAAAAAGCTCACCTTTCAGATCAGCGCTAGAGGCAGTGGGAGCATCGACAGCAGCAGGAGCAAGGCTGGCTAGGCTGGCATTCGCTGCTAAGGTTGAAAGAGTTTTTATGGCTTCTGCTTCTGCTTCAGTAATGATTTCTAGCATCCCAAATTCATTTACACAGAACTGCAGGCAACAGAAAAAAAAAGCAGGCAAATGAGCAACAGCAAATGGGCTAGAAAGGGGGACAGGAGGGAAGAGGATTCCTTGAGAAACAAGTAGGTACGGGATAAAGAAGTGGTTGCACATACAAAAGCATAAAAAAAAACCCCACATCCCCAACACGGCTCTTCCTCAACATGTCAGAAATGGGCCTAAAAAACCCAATGATGCATTTCACTGTCAAAGGAGGAAAGCGATGTTTACTCTGCCTGCATTTCCCTTATATATCTCAGACCTCTGACTACCTAGAAACATAGCAGAACACGCACCCTCGCAACAGAGGTTTGGCTAAATTGCTTTTCTGAGGGTCATCCACCCTCATCCACCAAAGCACAATCGCACTGATTGTAGTTATCAGGTATAGCAACTTCCCTAGAGTCTTAGGGCAAGTAGGAATCGCCCAGCCATTGACACAAAGGCCACGTTCCTATAACCATTGTTTTTTGGGGATCTCGTCCGTTCAGTCCTCCCGGCTGGCCCTGGCTGAGCTTGAAAGACCTCCAAGCGCAGCGACAGTTGGGAGTGCACAAATGCCGCAAGCGTCTAGAGCTGGAGACTAAGAGGCCAAGCAGTTCCCAACCTTTCTTCAACTACCCTTGACGGCCCTTTGGGAAATGAGCTCCTCGGAAGGGAGGAGGGCAGAGGAACGTGGGAATACGCAGAGGCAAAACTGCCAAAGAGCTGCAGATGCTGAGAAATAACTAGCTTTACTTTTGCTCCTTGCACAGTATCACAGTTCAGTGAACAACGCAGCAGGGCCCTGGCCTAAAGACAGATGAAAGAACCTCAAGTTCAAGTCTACAGCCCACTACAAACACCCCTAAAGTTACAGCGAAGGTGCCGCAGGCGAGCTGCGCCCAGCATGGCCAGGAGTCACGGTGGCCGAGAGAGATGGCAGCTCCCAGTCCCAGCGCCCCGAGTTTCCACTTGTTGCCAACCCTCTGCCTTGCACGCAGGGAGGAAGCCATCAGTCAGCTGATGGGATGATCCTGCCTCACCCGCGGCAGGATCTTCCACGGAGATGTCACCAGCCCGCAGCTCCTCTGCCCTGACACAGCCCTTGCTTGCCGGTCCCGCGCACGCACCACCTACTCTGTTACAGGCCAAGAGTAAATTTGGATGCAGAACAAGAAAACCCCCTCTAGACACACAGTAAAGCACTCACACTGCGGGGTAATTATAGAAAGCCAATTACATATGGTAACTGTTTTTTAAGCACTTCAGCTTAAAAAATTTCTTGGGCTGGGAAGGAACACGTCATTGGGCCTGATAAAATATTATTAAAGCGTGCGAAATGGTGTCAATGTGCATCTCTTAGTAGTGCCCGTGTGCAAAGGTAATGCACACCAAAAACCACCGTTCTGATCCCTGAAGAGTCGTCGCTTCCTTGATCTTCTTTACTGTCTGCAACATAGAGCTACCGACTCCAGAATGAAAGACACAAGTCAACAGCAGCTTGCATTTGCAAGCTCTGCTCCAAAGCTTTTATTCACAGTAGTTTATTAGTTTGACATCTTTTCTCAGCCATAGGCTCTTTGCTCAAACCCGGCAAACCCAGTTTAAAAGCATCTGCTGCACCTCTGAGGCAGGGCTTGTCCCCGCCTCGAGAGAAGCGCTCTTCTCCTGCAGGCTTCCTGCTCTCAGGATCGGATCTGTATCAAAGTCTTACCCCAAATGTTCTCCCCCCTCCCCTCTCTTTTTGATCTGAAGCCTGTACTTAAAGCTTCAGAGATGCTGGACTTATGTCTAAAAACCTTACTTCTTCCTCTGCGGCTCCAAAGTGACAGAGCATCATTCTTATTTCAGCAAGAACAGAAATAATCCATTTGAAAGAAATGCTAATTCTACGTGGGACCAAGCTTCCTGTAGGAGACAGGCTAGTTTAGAGAAGAAACCTATGGCTTTCCTGAAAGAGCAGCAGAGCGGGCTGGGACCGCAGGAGCTCCTCGCGATCAGAGATGGGGACAGCTCTGCGCTGGGGACACAAGCCAGCACAGCTAGGTATCATGTTCCAGCTGAACATCTTACCCCACTTGCTAACTGGGGTATTCAGCGCTCTTAATCTTTGATAATCTAATAGAAAATAATGTAGTGTCATTTGGCGTCTTTCAGTCTAACACCACTGCGCTTTGTTGACTCTACTGTTAGGAGGAATCAATAGAAGCGAAGCTGTGTCTGTAAAGGAACGTTACCGCTGCTTAAGAGGAAACCCGTGGTGAAGACCGTCAAGCTCTTTTAGGAAGTAAAGTATAATGGCTTCAATTACAGGTAAAGGGCAAACATTAGGCCACCCAAAATCCGAACGATTTCCTAGAAAGTCAGTGGATTTAGTTCTCTGCCAGCTCCATGACAGTGTAATTCACCAGTTTCCAAATACTCCAAGCATATAAATTATCCACGTTCTCTTGATGTTAATAGACAAGCATTTTCCTCAGACTAAGTCAGGTTTGACAGCTCCCAGAGTAGACTTTTCTACACAAAGGGGAAGAGACGAGCAGAGGAAGGGGGAAGATGGTCAATATTTTCAGAACATGGGGGCAGGAAGTCCCAATTTTGAGTGCCTGGTGTGACACCGACAATCTGATTTTTCAGTCCTCTCATGTCCCTTGAGCTCCAATTTATTTCACTTGAAATTGATTTTTTTCCCCCCCTCTTAAAGATTTAGGACTTGAACAGTCTTGCGGACAATTTTATGTATTCATTCTCAACCACCAGCAGTGCAATCAAACCGAAACAGCAGCGGAAGGTGATCCAGGAACCAGTCGGTTGAGGCTCCCCATCCTCCACCGCAGCACACCACGTACGCGGCCATCAGATCTTGGTTCTCATTTACCTAAGAGCTGTCTTAGAGTCCCTATCCTGAATACGTAACCTAGGTACAGACAGCTGTCAAAAGCCACAAAAATAATCCCTGATGTGAAAAGAACCTAAAGGCCCAACCCTACAAATACTCACTCACGAGAAAATGTCTTTCTCATGCTGGGCTGAGCTTAACAGGATTTCTTGCCTGAGAAAGTTGAATTGACATGACCGAGAACTAGGAAGATCAGGCCCTAAACTTCTATTCAGCAGAAAAGAATTTTTTTTTAAAAAGAATAACTGCCTACCTTTAGAAATTCCAAATCAGTTGAGGAAAAAATGAGGAGGGGGGGAAGGGGGAAAAATACCTTCAGGCTTTCGGAAACATTACTAAAATGTCACCACTTGCTTGGGAACTCCAACCCAGATGTTCAAATCAAAGTTTTTCCATATAGCTAGAGAATATTTGCAAATGTAGTGTGCTGCCAAAGGCATGGTGGCCACTCGTTCATTGTGTTCCTTGGTTTCTTACTTTTATGTTGCTACCAGGCAAGGTACCAATGCCGTCTTTCCAGTCTAAGGCACCCAGTACATCGGAGCCTGCTGTCGAGGTGTGGGCGATGCTCTCCGAGACGCTCTGTTCCATCTTTCTGCTTATTCTTTAGGCTCTTTATTTAGTTTTAAGAAAGAAAACTAGGGTTTGAAAACAAAACAAAAAGACAGAGGCATAGAATAAAATGTCGCTTGCATTTCATGAAGGGTTTTCAGAGCGATATTGGTTTCAGAAGATGGGGAAAAGGTGTCAAACTGGCATTTTTAAATTAATTTTTAGTTAAGTGTCTTGGGCAAAAAGTTAAGCGTTAAGCAAATATGCCGTCTGCGCACACAAAGATAACCAAATGAGATGCAACAGTTGGTATGTATGATGTTAATGCCCATTACAGTTCACAGGTAAGATCCTGCGTTCTCTACATGCAATAGGATCTTTGCTCTGGATCTTAGTATCAACTTACGATTACAAAAATCACACATACCCAGGTGCCTGCACAAACTTAAATACAGTATCCAAGTTGTTCAAACTTGTCACAGTGAAGAGCAGCAGCACCTAACAACTGTTGCCAGATCACTCTATACTACTGTAACGCTTAGCCTCTATGCTAGAAACACTATAAAGCTCTTAAAACGCTTAGGCGCTACCCACTGCCGCGTTGTCACAGCAGATGAACTAATGGCCTCCATTAGAGCAATCGACTAAAAGCCAGACTGCTATATGGACCCCTGTACCCAATTACTCAGCTATTATTGCGGTAGACACCAAACAAATACTGACCATAAATTAACTGTATGTTATCGCCCTTTACATGTAACCCGAGTATTTTCAGCTTACAAACGTAGCTGCTTGCTGGAAAAAAAAATATTCACAACCTTTCCCTGAACTGGCAGCTCTACTAATTTTTCCAGTGCAAGCAAACACCGTTAATTTCAAAAAAAGCACAGGCCAAAGGACAACTTAAGTCTAATTCCATTCCTTTGGAAAGGAGTCAAATCCGCTCAAGGATGACGGTCTTCTCACCCCGACTTTTGGTTGCCCAAGTTAGACACAGTCACTCTGAGCTCTCTACTCAATGGCAAGACCAGTGTCATCCAGGAACAATTTACCCGACCTGCCTCTGGCAGGTTATTTGCCTTCTGCAACCTCAGGAAGTGCCTTACCGTGAGGCGGCCAGGGCTAGGTTTTCAGTAGGTAGGTGCTTAGAGCAGGGGAAACCTTGCTCTAAAGTCTTTGAGGTGTTAAATCACGTGCAGGTTGAGAGTGCAAGTTAATTGCAGCCAAAGGCAAAGCCACAGATCTGCGGTCGGACAATTCATGGTGTCCGAGCACCCCTGCAGCTCTAACGCGAGCATCACAAGCTCATTATGGTTATCTTATTAGGTCAGTAGCAAGACAGACATCTGCAGGCTGCACCACCAAGTACCTTTGGGTATTACGACCTAATCCCTGTAGAAACAGTTCTTCTTTCTTTTTTTCTCCCCTTTCTCCAGGTGTCAAAATCCAACTACTTACGATCCCGTACAACCGTGGAGATCAGCAGCACAGCCGCTGGTCAGAACAAGCTTGGAAATGGGAATCGGCTAACCGGGGCAGCGGCCAAACTGCGGACGCCGGTTCAGCTCCCACTCAACTAACAGAAGTTCCAGGAGCTGGAGGTCGGAAGCCGGTGTCCGCAGTTACGTACACAGCGGAGATCCGCGGCGACCGCGACATCACAACCGCGTGCCACCCATCCACGGAAGGTTTGTTTTTTAAAAATCAGACTAAGTGTAAAGTCAGATTGAACAACTGTAGCCAAAGGCTCACCATACGGGCATGTTTGGTGTAGCCTTGTACATCTATAGAAATGTATAGCCTATGTTTCGATGCCAGTTCTCACAAGATGAGGAAATATCCCTTTTGAGCTGTTATTCTTTGAATTTAGGCTTTAAAAATAAAGAAGCTCGAGCATCAAGACAACTTACAGAGTTCTCTTTGGAGAAAGGGCTTTTGAAGATGCTCGGACAGGACTCTGAAGTAGTTAAGCTAGGGAATTTATTTAAAACTGGACCAGGAAAAGTGTCAAAAAGCATAACGCACACAATTTTATTCTAACAAGAAAAGACACGATAAAAGAGCGGGCCTTTTTCCATCTGTATGTTTTATAAATCTATTAAAAACTCTAGAAAAACGTAACAAAGAAATTACTTATTTTATAATGCTCCCCATCCGAACCATCTACAATAAAGCCAAGATAGCCAATAAAGGGAAGCAAACTATGCAATTAAAAAGGCAGCAAAGCCTAACTTGAAAAACTTGTAAAAAGCCACAGTGATGCACAAATGTCTCCCATTTGCCCCCATTTGTGATTGCTTTTCATCTTTAACGTTTTAAGACTCAGAAACATTAATGTAAAAGAAGATATAGTAACACTAAGAGAAGATACGGGGCCCCAAGCTGCAGATTCCTATTTGTAAAGTGATAAGTGACTAACATGTCTGCAGAGATAACGGTTCGTAATTAATATGCCACCACCCAGATCTCAGTGCGTTATCTCTAGAGACGGGGAACAGTCCATAGCACAAAGTCAGAAACTTGTTTTGACCTTGTTTCTACCACTGAACCACCATGCAGCCCTGGAAAACTATTTCATGATTACTGCACGAAACCCGCTTTGGCTTTTAACATCCATTTTGCCTTAGCTGAAAAGAGGCAGAAGCTCACGCAAACAAATAAAAGCATTAAGGCTAAATGGGTTGATTGGGGCTCACTATATTTCTTTATGCACGGTCAGGCCTAACGGGAAGAAAAGCATGTCGAAAGAAAATCCATTTCACGTGCTACCAACTTATTTCCAATGACAGGAGGATTTCAGGGTCTTTATACCAGTGTAAAAGTTGAGAAATACAACGGCAAAATAAACCCCAAAATTTTAAATCAAGCAACAACAACGTGGAGTTAACAGTCCTTCTGGCTAAGCCTCTATGTAATAAGAGACAAACTCCCATCCAAGAAACAACTGGCATCGAGAAAAGCATCTGAGACTGTGCTGTTCTGGGAACAGCTGATGTATAAATCTCCTTTCTTCCCCAAAACAGAATGGGAAAGTAGGAAAGCTGGTCATTTCATTTAGTGTAATACACACGCATGAAGAAAACGCTGCAATTCAGAGCTCCATATATCCTCGAGCTTCTTGCAACATTTGGTTAAGGTATCTAACAAACACGTTAAACAAAACACCTGTAATTCACTCTTATAAAGCTAGTGGAGAACTGAATTGCAATTTAAAGAGAAGCAAAAAATAAAAATAAAAAAGATCTAAGTCTTCTTGCAGGGCACAACTAATCTGGTCTCAAAAACTGCTTGGAGACTTTACCAGTTCAGCCACAAAAATCATTTGCCTGTTCTTCGCTGTGATGATGACTGATGATATTTTACTTACTCATCAAAAACTATTCCTCACCTCAGGCAAGTAATATTTTGCAAGGCTGAACTGATCCCCTTTACCAAGAAAACCCGCCTCACCTCCAGGAACCTCATGAGTCTAGTCAGAGACACTGTTAGCAGCCACCAGCACGCATTTAAGTGCATGAATAAGACATAGTTGCTTTCACTCTCTTCTACGCCAATGAACAACAAGGAAAAAAAAAATCCACAAGATTTTCTCCACCTAAAGTTACAGAATGCCAGCCTCCATCTGTTGTGCTTCCCACTATTTTTTGGTTCTCAGGAAAGGAGAGAAGAGTTATCACTACAAAAGAATGGGAACATTCCTCCGGAAGACTAGGGAAAAGGATGGTCTACGAGCGGAGAGGGATGCTTACGGCACTAGGCGAGAACTGAGAAGAAACGTCCGTGTTTTGTCTTAGCTCTGCCATAGGAACTCTTAAGATAAACTGCTTTGGTTTTCCCAAGTTTGTGATGTTCATTGGGACAACACGGCCCTTCCAAGGTCATTGTAAGTACACATTAACGTATGGAGGATGCTCAGATGTCATGGCACCAGGAGATGGATAAACAGGTACCAAAGCTATGTGATTTTGATCAATTTATAAGATCAGACAGCAACACCGTGAGTTCACTCTAAACCTAAAAGTTGATCCAAGTGCCGAGTCCAAACAAGCACAGTAGCTATCTCTTGGTTTCTTGACACGGTTGCATCAAAAATATACACACACACACACATGTCTCTTCAAGCTGTGGTTAAGCTTCATCCACGTACGATCATACTCACCTTGCTACCTTTAAGTTCATATGACAACCGGAAGCGAGCAGGGGAGCAGACTTTTCCCTGCCCTTTTTGCTGCCGAAGCTGAGCAGGGCATACAACGCTACGCTGAAGACTATTTCAGCCTCTTCCCAACAGAAGGGGAGGGAAACTAAAGAAGGCACAAAACATACTTTCACATCCACAGAATTCATGCTTTCTCTTCGTTTATTGAACGCGAGGAACAGAAGTACAGTCTTAACTTCATTTTTATGGCCTTCGTTAAACTCGTTCACTGTTGAGCCTCATTTCCCTAGCTCCTCGTCTCTCTCTGCTTCACTCTCATGCCCTAATTTAAGGGCTCTGGCAATATTTTACTGCTCTTGGAAAAACCAGCAGTCTTGGAGAAGGAAGTCACCTGCTCGGCCACAGACACAGCACAGCGCAAACAGCACTATTTCAAACTTGCTCTGCCAGGAGGCCTAGAGAAGCGTCCACGACCATGTCACCACTAACCCTGCTCTCTTTACTGAGCCAGTCATTTGAGGGAATCACAACCAAGACGATACCGACACACACCCTAATGAACTGCCCTCAACGCCACACAGAAAACACACACCCGGGGATGTGTCATGTTCATAAGAACAACTGAAAAAAGTCACCGAAAATATTCCTTATTGAGACGTAATAGCTTTTGACATAATAATAGCTTATTGAGACGTAATAGCATTTCTAAATCTGACCTTATTTCTACCACAGCAGATGCAAGGCACAAACACTTTCTATTACCCTTAATCAGAAATGTTTTCACTCGAAAGTTAATGACCTGTAAGCAAGCTGTAAGATTTGTGATTTAAAATAAAGTCGACTTGGTAACACAAAAAAATTGTAGTACTAGGGGGAAAAGCAATTCTTTAAATAGGCAACTAAAATTTTAGTCACATCACTTAAGTTTAACTAAGATACCAAGGAGGAGTTTTGCATGAAACATGCTCTTAAAAGTAGTTAATGAAAGCAACCACGAGGACCATGCCATTACCCATAACATGTTGTTGTTCTTAAACATTTTCGATGTCTGAAACTATTGCATATTGGATGCAGGCTCCCAAACAGAAATCTCAAAGGGATGTCAAAGCTCTGTGCTAGTTATTTTATTTGCTTCTGTTCTGAAGCTGCTTTATTACATTGTTCTTTTCTGAATATTCATCTCATGCTTTTGGGGGGGAATATATAATTAAGGTTGGTTATCTAAACTCCAAACGACTGATGTTAAAGAGACTACTACTAACCCCAAGGACTATCACTAACTACTCCAAAACAGTTTTTACATGTATCATATAGATATCAATAACAATCGCTCCAGACTGAATAATTCATGTTCAGGTCAAGTATTTGGAAGAAAAAAAAAAGTGCATGGAATTGACACAGTAATCTTAAAAAATAAAATAAAATACAAACAAGATTGTCATTCAGATGCATTTGATGTTGAAATCAACAGGCAGCACCAGCCAGAGTGCCCATACCCTACGTACATAATTGTGCAACAAAAATTGCAAAACAGAATTTTTTCTGGTAGTTGTTTTCTAAACGGCTTGGTACTAGCAGGCAATAAAAGTGTTATGTGCAGATTTAGCATTACTAAAGAATGAAGGAATTAGGGTAAAACCTGGCACAGATGGCCACATAAAACTATCCCAAACTTCCTGCAATTAGCTGTATGTACGGAAGAAAAAAATGGCCGAATATTTGCAAATTTAACCGGCAATATTGCTATCATATAAGGCCCGTTTCAACAATGCACTTAAGCATATGCTTAGACCTATTTGATATCCTAGAGGAATCTCTGTATGTTTAAAGCCGTGTGTGCTTCAGCGCTTTGCTGGCAGCGTCTACTCAAGCGTCCAGAACGCCACGCTTTCTTTACTATGACTGCACAACTTAACTTTCTGCTTAAGGAAGTAGCACCCAAATTCCCAGAAAATTCTTAAAAATCAAACAACAAAACCTCACACCCATACAGAAGCACCATCACATCCACATGTGGTTTACAACCTTTGTGATTTATAAAACAAGGATAAACAAAAGATACTTTGGGTCCCGATATCCCTCCTTTGGCTCGAGTGCAACAAGAGTTATAAATGAGAGTTAAGATGATGTTTTTCCTCAAGAAACCCAATGCTCTATCCCCGATCTTGCCAGTTCTGCTCTCTCAGCAGAGTGAGCAAAGGCAGCAGTGGGTTTTCTCTTTTAATGCAACTGCATGATACCACGGGAAGGACAACTGACCAGGCAAGGGCCTCTCGCTTCTCAAAAGATAACAAAATTCATCTTAATGGGATTGGACTGTTTCCTATGTATTTGCTTTCCTTTTTTTTAAACTTCTTAAACG